GAAATATCCCTCATGTCCACCTTTCAGTCTTAGCCCAGTCCTTCATTGACAATGGTTACTGTACTGTTTTTTGTCTAGCTAACAGAATACAATTGTGTATAAAACTGAAAAAAATAAATAGGATTTTAGGGTAAGAGTAGCCTCCAAGGTTTGACATCACACATTGCACTCATACTGCCAAGGAAATTGTAACCATTATCATTCACACACATAAAGTAACTTCCATACATCAGAGTAAAAAGAAAATGTATACAGCATAATATACTGTAATATAAACACACAAACAAAAAACAATGAAAATTATATGCAGCCTACAGTGCTGTAAATAAAGCTGGAGTTTCACAACTAACAGTTCTTCACTGGTCGCTGTCCTCACCCTCCTGGCCATCCACACGCTGCTGTCTGTCTGGCCACAGATTCTCGTCCACATCACAGCGTATATTCTCCCTTGCGATGCAACGAGGGAAGAAACGGCGTGCATGTCGCAACCATCCCCTACACTGATCTCCTGTAATATCCTCACACGCAGCGTCCATTGCATGGAGCAGGGACCTCTGATCTTGAGCCCGATGCTCATACACTCTCCACCTCCAAGCGGAGAAATACTCCTCAATAGGATTGAGGAAAGGAGAGTCAGGTGGTAGGAACACCATAACCATCCTTGGATGAGTAGTGAACCAGGCCCTGATGAGCGGGCCACGGTGGAAATTCACATTGTCCCATACAATGACATATTGTGGTAGGTGAGGCCCTACGAGACCGCTCTCATTTTCAGGGATCAAATCAACATGAAGGCGGTCCAAGAAGATGAGGAGCTTCTGTGTATTGTATGGGCCAAGACTGGGGATGTGAGTGGCCACACCATTCTCCGATATGGCAGCACACATAGTTATATTGCCCCCTCGCTGGCCTGGGACATCCACCATGGCCCGGTGGCCAATAATATTACGGCCACGTCTTCGGCCCTTGGCCAGGTTGAAGCCAGCTTCATCCACAAACACGAGGATGTGATGGGTCTCGTTTCCTTCCAATGCCATTATTCTCTACAATAGCGTAAAAAAAGAAAACATCAAATCAGTCATACAGAAGAGTCATACACTACAGTTACAGACAATTACATAGGAATGTTCTATGTTCTCCACAAGTTCAATATACTACTGGCCACTACTCCAGTGGTTCCAAACCTGGGGTACATGTACCCCTATGCAGAGGTACTACAGGGGGTATTTGACAGAAAGGGGAGGGGGGAAATCATCAATGACTAGACTTACTGAAATGTTACAGTAAAACCCACAGTATTAGATAGATTTACATGGGAGGCACTAATTGCAGCTCTTTGACCCCTTTTCTTATTGTATGTTATATTCTTCAAAATAAGGATTATAATGATAATTGCATCATACAGTAAGCTGCAGTTTTTAGGCGAAATGTTGAAGACAGATAAATCAAATACTTCCATACCTGGATTACCTGGATACACAAATCAGGTAAAGTGGGTACTGAAGCCAAAAAAGTTTGGGAACCACTGCTTAATTGTAAAAATGTTATAATGATGGACAACCAGTAACTGACTTACATGTACATACTGGTACCGCAGCTCTTTCACTCTATCAGAGTTCCTCTCAAATGGTACCCTGTAAATTTGCTTCATTGTCATCTGATGCTTCTTCAATATCCGGTCTATTGTGGAGATGCTTATAGAGTTGACATTTTGGAATATGGCATTGTCTTGTAGGATTGCAGCGCGGATCTGTCTCAATGTGATGGCATTATTTGCCATCACCATGTTACAGATCTCTTGTTCTTGTTGTTCATTGAGAAGTTTTCCTCTGCCACCTGTGCAAGGTTGTCGTCCAATCCTAGATATAGAAGTCAAAGGACAACACTCCATTCGTAATGTATACCTTATGTATTCCTTACAGAATGAGTTACCTATGTAATTGTATTGTTGTTTTACTTACAGTAACTTTACCACAATTCTAATGCATCACTGCACAGTGACTGGAATACTACTGTAAACTGTATCATCAATACTGTAGAAAATAAACTATTCCATAGTTTATTTTCTCCAATGTTTTTCTTGTCATTTTTAGTATCATAACATCCCATTGAGGTAAGATATTACTGTAGGCCTATCACACACACACACTAAATGAATAGGTAAATATGTAAATAAATATATTTCTTGCTCTATGCACAGTGTCCTGTCCTATACAACATATAATTCCATCATTGACTGACTACATACCTGTTTTCCCTGCGAAAGGTTTGGATGATGGAGGAGACTGTTGAGCGAGGCACATTAGGCTGCACTCGGCGACCTGCCTCCGCCATTGTGAGGCCATGGTTGATGACATGGTCTATAATTGTGGCCCGAATTTCATCCGGGACAGCATGGTGTCTTCGTGCTCCTCGGCCTCTTCCCCCTATTCCACCACCACGCACCCTTACTCCTCCTCCTCCTCTTCTTCTTCCTCTTCCTCGAGCAGGCAGTTGCCCTTGTTCATTTACTTGGCCAGGTGCCTCCATGTTCAGAAATTGTACTGGTCCTGCATGGTCAAGCTCTTTACATACATGTTTGGCAGCATTCACAGTCATGGACAGCACCTGTCAGGTAACTAAACATACTGTTTGATTGGTCATCTGAGATGTGTGAAACTCCTCCTTCGTTAGTCAAGTTCTAGTTTCACCTGACTGTCAGTTGCTGTAATAAATTTATCAAATGTTCCAAGGGATTCATATATGGTATTCATGGTATTATGTTCTTGACTAATTTTGACAATTGAACAGACTATTGTGCATGTGATGACTTATACAATGAAATGACGCTGACACGTTTTGGAGCGAACAACCATTAGACTGAGAATCAACAATCAGTTTAGATCAACAAGATCTATTCACTTGGAAATTGTGCTAAATGTAGGCTACCTGTACTTAATCATTTGCAAAGATGTACTGAGACATTGAGACATGTACTTAGACATTTGCAATTTGATGAAATGAATGAGAAATTCAATTCTGTTGTGAACAATTGCCAAGTGGTTTGGAGGTTTGTCCATGTAGTTTTGAGAATGTAATTTCTGTTTCAAGAAATGAGCCAAACCAATGGAGAAAAACTGTAATACGTATGCGTGAATTGGAAATGTTTTTTTTTGTTGATATCCTACCTCTCCCTGAGACACGTTTTGATCTAAAAGGAGGATTCAACCTGGATTTCTGTAGGTAAGAGGCTAGTTCTGTACAGATGGTTAGGCTACGTTTTAGAAGAAAACAATGTGCTGGGTTCAATTTCCTTGGAGGTCTCTTCTGTTGAGATATTGAAACTGTGGTGGTTCTAAAATGGTGCACAGACAAGACTTGTTTGTAGGGCCGGGACGATACCAGTATCGCGATGCTCGTTAGTATCGTAGCAAGGAAACAAAACAGGAAGCGGATGTGACTTCTTTAGGGAAACAGTAGGGCTGGGAATTTCCAGGGACCTCACGATATTATCGATATCTTAGGTGGCGATTTACGATTTCTATTGCGATTCTCTCACGATTCTATATGTATTGCGATTCGATACTGTGATTTTATTGCGATTCGATGTTCCAAACATATTGCTCACCATATGTCTGCTGCAAAGGGACAGGAGAGAGCCATGAGTTTTGATCAGTCATGGAAAGAAAAGTGCTGAAAACAAATTGGCTCCCTATTTAAAAAGAAAATGGAGAACAAGCTATGAAGGAAGAATACTGGAATTCTGGTGCAGGTAGAGCCAACTAGCGCAAAAAATAATATTGAGAGATTGTGAAAACGATACGATACAATATGTAGTCAAAAATAATATCCCGATATGTAACTGTATACATTCTTCCCCCCATCACTAGAAAAACAGCCCTAATGTTGGAAACAGACATTATGATGTTGTCATCCAGTGTCACATGTATTTATTTTCCAAGCCATAGCACACAATAGTTCACGTACAGCAGGTTTTTAATGGACCAAAGAGTTTGGTCTGCTTCGTGTTTTGATTTTAGCCATGGAAAAATATTGTGACGCTGATATTGTCCCTACTGGTTTGTTTGTCAAGGCCTGACATAAAGATGTTGTTGTTTGCTTTGTACTGTAGGCTAAAACGTTTATGGCCAGGCCATTTTATTGATGTTTGTCTGTCTCTGCTAATCAATATTCCTCCAAAACAGTTTTTAAATACTTTAACTTCGGTTATTCAATACCTTTCAAAATGTTCTTGGAGAGGGTACTTTTATAGGCAGACTGAGCACCAAGGTGGGTCCGATATTGGCTGAAACAGCAATCGTTTGCGTTTGCTCTGGTCTTCCAAACAGTGTGTTCATTGTAGCATTAGAAGTAGGATGGGGCCTACTCAACCATAGTTGATCAATCTGACAGAAGTCTTTCTTTCTCTCCCACTTAACAAACATGTGGATGAAGCGTTTTCAGACATCTGCAATTGTTCTGGATTTCTCTGGTGTTTATGATTCATCCTGCATCTTTATAGAAGAACAAACGCTAGCTTGTTGGCTTACAAAACTCTGAAAGGTCTATTGAATCATGCAGCCAACATTCAATCCAACATTTGATTTAAACAATTAGCCTAGCAACTGAACTTCCATGATGTATCTCTGAGAAGCTAGCTAGCTAGCTAGGCTAGTTGTTAAAGGAGAAATGTGCTGGATCTGTGTTGTTGTCCTCTGTTGTTGTGTCTGTGTGTAACGTCCTGATTGATAGTGTTTTTTTTTTTGTCATTATAATCATGTTGTCCTATATTATCTGATCTCATAATTCTCTCTAAAGATAATCCACCATCACTAATATTCTTAACTGAGAGCAGCTCTTAGCCTGAGCCTATGTCAACAGTGACAAGCTCAACAGGAGTAGTGTAGTGAGATGCGTAATTCTCCAGCACTGCACAGTCAATGGATAGAGGTGCTCTTTGATTTCTGTGAATGGTCGTTTTTGTTGAAGTGGAGGAGTGTGTGTGTGGTGAACTAGGTGAGATGAGGAGGGGTATCAGGAGGGGTATCAGGAGGGGTATCAGGAGGGGTATCAGGAGGGGTATCAGGTGGGTATCAGGAGGGATATCAGGAGGGGTATCAGGAGGGGTATCAGGAGGGGTATCAGGAGGGGTGTATCAGGAGGGATATCAGGAGGGGTATCAGGAGGGGTATCAGGAGGGGTATCAGGAGGGGTATCAGGAGGGGTATCAGGAGGGATATCAGGAGGGGTATCAGGAGGGGTATCAGGAGGGTATCAGGAGGTATATCAGGAGGGGTATCAGGAGGGGTATCAGGTGGGGTATCTAGGCCTATCCATTGGCATTGAGTTGTTTACATAGACCTAGAATAGTTCTAAATGCACCAGCACACCAAACTGAATAAACCCGTCGTATCAAAACCCGGGTCAAAACCCGCGTATCGAAAACCCTCTCCTAAAACCCTCATCGAAAAACCCGCTATCAAAACCCTCAGCTAAAACCCGCTGCGCTAAAACCCTCAGCGAAAACCCGCGTATCAAAACCCTCTCTCTAAAACCGCGTCTCTAAACCCGCTCTCTAAACCCTCGCTGCTAAAACCCCATCTGAAAACCCTCATCAAAAACCTCTATCTAAAACCTCGCTCTAAAACCCTCGAGCTAAAACCCTCATCTAAAACCCCTACAAAACCCCGACGAAAACCCGGCTGCTAAAACCCTCGAGCGATAAAACCCCTATCGAAAACCCGCTAGCGAAAACCCCCCAAAACCCGCGTACTAAAACCCTCTAAAAACCCCCTCTAAAACCCTCTCAAAAACCCCGCTCTAAAACCCTCTATCTGAAACCCTCTATCTAAAACCCTCTATCTAAAACCCTCTCTCTAAAACCCTCTATCTAAAACCCTCTATCTAAAACCCTCTATCTAAAACCCTCTATCTAAAACCCTCTCTCTAAAACCCTCTATCTAAAACCCTCTCTCTAAAACCCTCTCTCTAAAACCCTCTATCTAAAACCCTCTATCTAAAACCCTCTATATCTGGTAGCCTTTTGCATAGATTAAAGACTTGAAATAATTTTAGGCCCCAGACCAGGTAGGCCCAGACCAGGTAGGCCCCCAGACCAGGAGGCCCAGACCAAAGGTTTGGCCCAGACCAGGTAGGCCCCAGACCAGGTAGGCCCAGACCAGGTAGGCCTAGACCAGGTAGGCCCAGACCAGGTAGGCCCAGACCAGGTAGGCCCAGACCAGGTAGGCCTAGACCAGGTAGGCCCAGACCAGGTAGGCCTAGACCAGGCAGGCCCAGACCAGGTAGGCCTAGACCAGGTAGGCCTAGACCAGGTAGGCCCAGACCAGGTAGGCCTAGACCAGGTAGGACCAGACCAGGTAGGCCTAGACCAGGTAGGCCCAGACCAGGTAGGCCTAGACCAGGCAGGCCCAGACCAGGTAGGCCAGACCAGGTAGGCCCAGACCAGGTAGGCCCAGACCAGGTAGGCCTAGACCAGGTAGGCCCAGACCAGGTAGGCCCAGACCAGGTAGGCCCAGACCAGGTAGGCCTAGACCAGGTAGGCCCAGACCAGGTAGGCCTAGACCAGGTAGGCCTAGACCAGGTAGGCCCAGACCAGGTAGGCCTAGACCAGGTAGGACCAGACCAGGTAGGCCTAGACCAGGTAGGCCCAGGACCAGGTGGGCCAGACCAGGTAGGCCCAGACCAGGTAGGCCCAGACCAGGTTAGGCCTAGACCAGGGGAGGACCAAAGGTTTAGATGTTTCCAGGGTTTATGGAGTTAGTTTCCTAGTGTGTTTCAACATGAAAGGGTGACTGGCATGTAGGGGTTTACATCCCAAATGGCACACTAGTCCCTATATAGTGCACTTTTTGTCCTATGGACCCCTGGTCAAAAGTAGTGCCACTGTTTCCCTATGGACCTTGGTCAAAGTAGTGCACTGTTTCCTATGGACCTTGGTCAAAAGTAGTGCCTGTTTCCCTATGGACCTTGGTCAAAAAATAGTGCATGTTTCCTATGGACCTTGGTCAAAAGTAGTGCACGGTTTCCTATGGACCTTGGGCAAAGTAAGTGCACTGTTTCCCTATGGAAACCTTGGTCAAAAGTAGGCACTGTTTCCCCATGGACTTGGTCAAAAGTAGTGCACTGTTTCCCATATGGACACTTGGTCAAAAGTAGTGCACTGTTTCCCTATGGACCTGGGTCAAATAGTCAGTGCAACTGTTTCCCTATGGACCCTTGGTCAAAAGTAGTGCCCTGTTTCCCTATGGGCCTTGGTCAAAAGTAGTGGTTCCCTTGGGGGCACTATTTCTCTATGGAACCTTGGTCAAAATTAGTGCACTGTTACCCTATGGACCTTGGTCAAAAGTTAGGTGCACTGTTTCCCTATGGACCTTGGTCAAAAGTAGTGCACTGTTTCCCTATGGAACCTTGGTCAAAAGTAGTGCACTGTTCCCTATGGACCTTGGTCAAAAGTAGTGCACTGTTTCCCTATGGACCTTGGTCTCAAAAGTAGTGCACTGTTTCCCTATGGACCTTGGTCAAAAGTAGTGCACTGTTTCCTATGGACCTGGTCAAAAGTAGTGCACTGTTTCCCTATGGACCTTGGTCAAAAGTAGTGCACTGTTTCCCTATGGACCTTGGTCAAAAGTAGTGCACTGTTTTCCCCTATGGACCTTGGTCAAAAGTAGTGCACTGTTTCCCTATGGACCTTGGTCAAAAGTAGTGCACTGTTTCCCTATGGACCTTGGTCAAAAGTAGTGCACTGTTTCCCTATGGACCTTGGTCAAAAGTAGTGCACTGTTTCCCTATGGACCTTGGTCAAAAGTAGTGCACTGTTTCCCTATGGACCTTGGTCAAAAGTAGTGCACTGTTTCCCTATGGACCTTGGTCAAAAGTAGTGCACTGTTTCCCTATGGACCTTGGTCAAAAAGTAGTGCACTGTTTCCCTATGGACCTTGGTCAAAAGTAGTGCACTGTTTCCCTATGGACCTTGGTCAAAAGTAGTGCACTGTTTCCCTATGGACCTTGGTCAAAAGTAGTGCACTGTTTCCCTATGGACCTTGGTCAAAAGTAGTGCACTGTTTCCCTATGGACCTTGGTCAAAAGTAGTGCACTGTTTCCCTATGGACCTTGGTCAAAAGTAGTGCACTGTTTCCCTATGGACCTTGGTCAAAAGTAGTGCACTGTTTCCCTTGGACCTTGGTCAAAAGTAGTGCACGGTTTCCCTATGGACCTTGGTCAAAAGTAGTGCACTGTTTCCCCCTATGGACCTTGGTCAAAAGTAGTGCACTGTTTCCCTATGGACCTTGGTCAAAAGTAGTGCACTGTTTCCCTATGGACCCTTGGTCAAAAGTAGTGCACTGTTTCCCTATGGACCTTGGTCAAAAGTAGTGCAACTGTTTTCCCTATGGACCCTTGGTCAAAAGTAGTGCACTGTTTCCCTATGGACCTTGGTCAAAAGTAGTGCACTGTTTCCCTATGGACCTTGGTCAAAAGTAGTGCACTGTTTCCCTATGGACCTTGGTCAAAAGTAGTGCACTGGTTTTCCCTATGGACCCTTGGTCAAAAGTAGTGCACTGTTTCCCTATGGACCGTTGGTCAAAAGTAGTGCACTGTTTCCCTATGGACCTTGGTCAAAAGTAGTGCACTGTTTCCCTATGGACCTTGGTCAAAAGTAGTGCACTATTTCCCTATGGACCTTGGTCAAAGTAGTGCACTGTTTTCCCTATGGACCCTGGTCAAAAGTAGTGCACTGTTTCCCTATGGACCTTGGTCAAAAGTAGTGCACTGTTTCCCTATGGACCCTGGTCAAAAGTAGTGCACTGTTTCCCTATGGACCTTGGTCAAAAGTAGTGCACTGTTTCCCTATGGACCTTGGTCAAAAGTAGTGCACTATTTCTCTATGGACCTTGGTCAAAGTAGTGCACTGTTTCCCTATGGACCTTGGTCAAAAGTAGTGCACTGTTTCCCTATGGCCCCTGGTCAAAAGTAGTGCACTGTTTCCCTATGGACCTTGGTCAAAAGAGTGCCTGTTTCCCTATGGACCTTGGTCAAAGTAGTGCACTATTTCTCTATGGACCTTGGTCAAAAGTAGTGCACTGTTTCCCTATGGACCTTGGTCAAAAGTAGTGCACGTTTCCCTATGGACCTTGGTCAAAAGTAGTGCACTGTTTCCCTATGGACCTTGGTCAAAAGTAGTGCACTGTTTCCCTATGGACCTTGGTCAAAAGTAGTGCACTGTTTCCCTATGGACCTTGGTCAAAAGTAGTGCACTGTTTCCCTATGGACCTTGGTCAAAAGTAGTGCACTGTTTCCCTATGGACCTTGGTCAAAAGTAGTGCACTGTTTCCCCTATGGACCTTGGTCAAAAGTAGTGCACTGTTTCCCTATGGACCCTTGGTCAAAAGTAGTGCAACTGTTTCCCTATGGACCTTGGTCAAAAGTAGTGCACTGTTTCCCTATGGACCCTTGGTCAAAAGTAGTGCACTGTTTCCCTATGGACCTTGGTCAAAAGTAGTGCACTGTTTCCCTATGGACCTTGGTCAAAAGTAGTGCACTGTTTCCCTATGGACCTTGGTCAAAAGTAGTGCACTGTTTCCCTATGGACCTTGGTCAAAAGTAGTGCACTGTTTCCCTATGGACCTTGGTCAAAAGTAGTGCATACAGTGAGGGAAAAAAGTATTTGATCCCCTGCTGATTTTGTACGTTTGCCCACTGACAAAGACATGATCAGTCTATAATTTTAAAGGTAGGTTTATTTGAACAGTGAGAGACAGAATAACAACAACAAAATCCAGAAAAACGCATGTCAAAAATGTTATAAATTGATTTGCATTTTAATGAGGGAAATAAGTATTTGACCCCTCTGCAAAACATGACTTAGTACTTGGTGGCAAAACCCTTGTTGGCAATCACAGAGGTCAGACGTTTCTTGTAGTTGGCCACCAGGTTTGCACACATCTCAGGAGGGATTTTGTCCCACTCCTCTTTGCAGATCTTCTCCAAGTCATTAAGGTTTCGAGGCTGACGTTTGGCAACTCGAACCTTCAGCTCCCTCCACAGATTTTCTATGGGATTAAGGTCTGGAGACTGACTAGGCCACTCCAGGACCTTAATGTGCTTCTTCTTGAGCCACTCCTTTGTTGCCTTGGCCGTGTGTTTTGGGTCATTGTCATGCTGGAATACCGATCCACGACCCATTTTCAATGCCCTGGCTGACGGAAGGAGGTTCTCACCCAAGATTTGACGGTACATGGCCCCGTCCATCGGCCCTTTGTGGCGGTGAAGTTGTCCTGTCCCCTTAACAGAAAAACACCCCCAAAGAATAATGTTTCCACCTCCATGTTTAACGGTGGGGATGGTGTTCTTGGGGTCATAGGCAGCATTCCTCCTCCTCCAAACATGGCGAGTTGAGTTGATGCCAAAGAGCTCCATTTTGGTCTCATCTGACCACAACACTTTCATTCTTGTACTGTGATGCCAAAGAAAAAGTATGGCTGCACAGTTGATCTAATTCACACCGAAGTCGCAATATTGACATGGGCAATATCCATATCGCAAGAGATCCTTATCGCATGCAATATTTGAAACGCCACTCAGCTGCGTGTAACGCCGTTTCTTTATAGTTTACTCTTTTTTTTTAAACTTGCGGTTGCTTCCCACACACACCAAGCCCCGCCCCCTGTCACTCAAGCAGCTCAGCTCCTCCTCCTCTCTGTTAGTTTGCGTGCTGTTCTGTTAGGTCATGCAGTCAACCGATTGGTCCAAACAAGAACAATGCTGCTTTCAACTTTGCTTCTTAGTAGGCACATTCTCACACTTGCACATTCTAAAGTGGGCTAGCACCGACCTTAGCCCAGAGGTAGCTGGCCATGCTCCGGAGCAGGGTTAGCACCGACTTTTAGAGGTTAGCACCAAAAACACGGTGCCAAAATAGCCAGTGTGAAATGGGGTCAAGAACAACACCTAGAATGCTCACTGTCCAATCACAAAAGCAGCACTTTCACTGAATTGACATATGCTGGTGATGCCTGTAATGCCTGTAATGCGTTTTGATAAGTCAATTCATACGATATAATCCCTTCCATCTGAGCACAGAAACCAAAATACTTTAATTTGTGCAAAAACATTGGTTGCCATGACTAACAAAAACGGTTGCTATGCAGGCTGGCTAACATCTTCTCACTTTGCAGACAATTACATTGATGGAAGTTACAATCTATCTGCAATATTAAAGCTGATCTACCCCCTAAAAAAACAACAACAACAACACATCTTCTCACTTAGCTAACTAAAGCTACAAGCTGAACAGCTGGAACGGCAGCAAACACTCAATTAGAATGTCGGCTGCATGTTGGGTTTGTCTTATATTCTAGAGCTTTGGAATACAAGCGTGAATCCTTAGCCCAGGGTTAAAGCTTAGCCCAGGGTTAAAGCTTAGCCCAGGGTTAAAGCTTAGCCCAGGGTTAAAGCTTAGCCCAGGGTTAACAAATGCTCGTGTGAACACAATCTAAGATAGCCCAGGGCCCAGCTCAATTGGTAGAGCATGGCGCTTGTAACACCAGGGTAGTGGGTTCGATCCCCGTGACCACCCATATATAAAAAAAAATTATGCGCACATGACTGTAAGTCGCTTTGGATAAAAGCGTCTGCTAAATGGCATATTATTATTATTATTATTAGACTGGGTGTGAAAAGGCCTAATATAAATCATTACATTTCTATGATTCCAACAGTTCTCCCAAATGTTTTCATCTGTATCACAAGTCAAATAGCAATATTAAATTTTTTATTTTTAATGCAATTAGCTGTCTTGCCCATATCGTGTAGCCCTATCCTGGATGGACAATACAGTTATATTAGATTAACAAGGACCCTTGGTAGGTAGAGCAGTATAGCCCTTTATTGCAAGCTAGATTTTTGAGAACGTATATACATTTAAGGTTAAATGAGCTAACCGGCCAGGCTTATTCTCTGTTTCGATTGGGTGCAAACAATGCAATCTTCCGCCTGGCTAGTGGTATAGAAGACATGAGCCTCTGGGTGTAACCCAAATGGCTCTATATAGTGAATAGGGTGCCATTTGGGACGTCGCCTCTGTCAATAGAGAGGGACAAGAGAGAACATGGCTATGCTACTTCTCACAGTTAAACGGCGCGGCTCTGTTTTCACACTGACCAGTGTCTTTACACTTAAGTAGAGGACATTGTTCCTGGTTTGAGAGCTTTACTTTACTCACTCATTCAGTGTCATACACATAGGCTATGCGATGCATGCGTGAACAGGCATGCACAAACACACAATCACACACAGACCGCTACTAGTTCAAACACACTCGCACAGCCTAAGTAAAGGGTTTCTTCCCGACATACCACAGACACAGAGAGACACCCAGCATGTCAGTTAAAAGAGCTAGTGATGATCCGGTCTTCAAGGGAAATGGAAAGAGAGTCTGTGAATCAACTTCAGCTTTTGGACGTTAACAAGGTGACACTCCCATCTTACCTCCTCCTCCAACATTAACTGGGTTGGTTGAACAGTGCAGAAGAGAATCTCAACCCCGACAGTTTATTCTGTCTCGTCAGGACCAGAAAGAAAGAAACCTCAGGTGGGTTTTTTTTTTTTTTAACGCCTGCTATGTTAGGTTAGTGATGGTCAGACAGAATGGACCCTGTGTTTTACTGTGAAGCCCTCCTCACTGAACACAGACGACAACACGCATTCCTTCAATCAGAACATCAATAGTCACAATGCCGCCTGCGATGACTCACCGAAAGGCACCACGCAGCGTTAGGTTAAGGCCTGTCTTGCTTACGTTGGAGAGACAGGAGTGACGTTCACAGGAATGAAATGTCTAGATTGATTTTTTTCACCGGCAGGAAGGTGGTCTATTGGTCTAATTTTTCAATCCTAGAAAGAGACTAGCCCTTTATAGCCGACTCACAACCATTTACCCGAAAAGAAAGTTGCAACTTACAACACTAGGTTATAGGCCTGCCTTCCTCATGGTTTGTCCTCTACGTGGGTCAACAGCTCACCAACGTTTTTGGGTGTGTGACTTCAGTGACAAGTCTTCCTACTGATTTGACTAGCCTGTGTTGGGCAGTGCCAGGGTTGGGTTGTGCGTGTGTGTGTGTGTGTGTTTGGGTGGTGGTATTGAAACCTGGAGGACATAGCCAGGGCTGGGGTGGGTGTGTAACTTGGATGCCAGGGTTGGCTGACTGCTAAACAGAGCTGAACTGACCCTAACCCTGGGGGCTGAAGCAGCACATCCCATGTGCAACGACAGAGACCATGTTTGATGAGTGGCGATAGGACATCAACACCTCAGATATTATGAGGCCGAGGACCACTTTAGTGACACATCACACATCATGTCTGCTTCCCAAATGCATCCCAGATGTGCCACATCTACAGACCGAGAGGTTCCCTCTTCAACCCTGCCTTACATGAAGCATTGTTACAGTAGGCCTAATAGAAGAATGACTGTGTAGCCTGTATACAGCTAAAGGCTATGGTGCTTAGCCTAGCTACATTTGGTTTTAAAATTGGTTGTTTTCTCTCAATGTTTGTGTCTGGCATTGAACATTCATTATTGTTTCAAATGATCAACCTTCTAGGCTAAACAGAGATCAACCTACTAGGCTACACAGAGATCAACTTTCTAGGCTAAACAGAGATCAAAGTACTAGGCTACACAGAGATCAACTTTCTAGGCTAAACAGAGATCAACCTACTAGGCTAAACAGAGATCAAAGTACTAGGCTACACAGAGATCAACCTACTAGGCTACACAGAGATCAACCTACTAGGCTACACAGAGATCAACCTACTAGGCTACACAGAGATCAACCTACTAGGCTACACAGAGATCAACCTACTAGGCTACACAGAGATCAACCTACTAGGCTACACAGAGATCAACCTACTAGGCTACACAGAGATCAAAGTACTAGGCTACACAGAGATCAAACTACTAGGCTACACATAGATCAAAGTACTAGGCTACACAGAGATCAACCTACTAGGCTACACAGAGATCAACCTACTAGGCTACACAGAGATCAAAGTACTAGGCTACACAGATATCAACCTACTAGGCTACACAGAGATCAACCTACTAGGCTACACAGAGATCAAACTACTAGGCTACACAGAGATCAACCTACTAGGCTACACAGAGATCAACCTACTAGGCTACACAGAGATCAACCTACTAGGCTACACAGAGATCAAAGTACTAGGCTACACAGAGATCAACCTACTAGGCTACACAGAGATCAACCTACTAGGCTACACAGAGATCAACCTACTAGGCTACACAGAGATCAACCTACTAGGCTACACAGAGATCAACCTACTAGGCTACACAGAGATCAACCTACTAGGCTACACAGAGATCAACCTACTAGGCTACACAGAGATCAACCTGCTAGGCTACACAGAGATCAACCTTCTAGACTACACAGAGCTCAAACTACTAGGCTACACAGAGATCAAAGTACTAGGCTACACATAGATCAAGATACTAGGCTACACAGAGATCAACCTACTAGGCTACACAGAGATCAACCTACTAGGCTACACAGAGATCAACCTACTAGGCTACACAGAGATCAAAGTACTAGGCTACACAGAGATCAACCTACTAGGCTACACAGAGATCAACCTACTAGGCTACACAGAGATCAACCTTCTAGGCCACACAGAGATCAAACTACTAGGCTACACAGAGATCAATCTACTAGGCTACACAGAGATCAACCTACTAGGCTACACAGAGATCAACCTACTAGGCTACACAGAGATCAAAGTACTAGGCTACACAGAGATCAACCTACTAGGCTACACAGAGATCAACCTACTAGGCTACACAGAGATCAACCTTCTAGGCTACACAGAGATCAAAGTACTAGGCTACACAGAGATCAACCTACTAGGCTACACAGAGATCAAAGTACTAGGCTACACAGAGCTCAACCTACTAGGCTACACAGAGATCAACCTACTAGGCTACACAGAGATCAACCTTCTAGGCTACACAGAGATCAAAGTACTAGGCTACACAGAGATCAATCTACTAGGCTACACAGAGATCAAAGTACTAGGCTACACAGATATCAACCTACTAGGCTACACAGAGATCAACCTACTAGGCTACACAGAGATCAACCTACTAGGCTACACAGAGATCAACCTTCTAGGCCACACAGAGATCAAACTACTAGGCTACACAGAGATCAATCTACTAGGCTACACAGAGATCAACCTACTAGGCTACACAGAGATCAACCTACTAGGCTACACAGAGATCAAAGTACTAGGCTACACAGAGATCAACCTACTAGGCTACACAGAGATCAACCTACTAGGCTACACAGAGATCAACCTTCTAGGCTACACAGAGATCAAAGTACTAGGCTACACAGAGATCAACTTTCTAGGCTAAACAGAGATCAACCTACTAGGCTAAACAGAGATCAAAGTACTAGGCTACACAGAGATCAACCTACTAGGCTACACAGAGATCAACCTACTAGGCTACACAGAGATCAACCTACTAGGCTACACAGAGATCAACCTACTAGGCTACACAGAGATCAACCTACTAGGCTACACAGAGATCAACCTACTAGGCTACACAGAGATCAACCTACTAGGCTACACAGAGATCAAAGTACTAGGCTACACAGAGATCAAACTACTAGGCTACACATAGATCAAAGTACTAGGCTACACAGAGATCAACCTACTAGGCTACACAGAGATCAACCTACTAGGCTACACAGAGATCAAAGTACTAGGCTACACAGATATCAACCTACTAGGCTACACAGAGATCAACCTACTAGGCTACACAGAGATCAAACTACTAGGCTACACAGAGATCAACCTACTAGGCTACACAGAGATCAACCTACTAGGCTACACAGAGATCAACCTACTAGGCTACACAGAGATCAACCTACTAGGCTACACAGAGATCAAAGTACTAGGCTACACAGAGATCAACCTACTAGGCTACACAGAGATCAACCTACTAGGCTACACAGAGATCAACCTACTAGGCTACACAGAGATCAACCTACTAGGCTACACAGAGATCAACCTACTAGGCTACACAGAGATCAACCTACTAGGCTACACAGAGATCAACCTACTAGGCTACACAGAGATCAACCTGCTAGGCTACACAGAGATCAACCTTCTAGACTACACAGAGCTCAAACTACTAGGCTACACAGAGATCAAAGTACTAGGCTACACATAGATCAAGATACTAGGCTACACAGAGATCAACCTACTAGGCTACACAGAGATCAACCTACTAGGCTACACAGAGATCAACCTACTAGGCTACACAGAGATCAAAGTACTAGGCTACACAGAGATCAACCTACTAGGCTACACAGAGATCAACCTACTAGGCTACACAGAGATCAACCTTCTAGGCCACACAGAGATCAAACTACTAGGCTACACAGAGATCAATCTACTAGGCTACACAGAGATCAACCTACTAGGCTACACAGAGATCAACCTACTAGGCTACACAGAGATCAAAGTACTAGGCTACACAGAGATCAACCTACTAGGCTACACAGAGATCAACCTACTAGGCTACACAGAGATCAACCTTCTAGGCTACACAGAGATCAAAGTACTAGGCTACACAGAGATCAACCTACTAGGCTACACAGAGATCAAAGTACTAGGCTACACAGAGCTCAACCTACTAGGCTACACAGAGATCAACCTACTAGGCTACACAGAGATCAACCTTCTAGGCTACACAGAGATCAAAGTACTAGGCTACACAGAGATCAATCTACTAGGCTACACAGAGATCAAAGTACTAGGCTACACAGATATCAACCTACTAGGCTACACAGAGATCAACCTACTAGGCTACACAGAGATCAACCTTCTAGGCTACACAGAGATCAACCTACTAGGCTACACAGAGATCAAAGTACTAGGCTACACAGAGATCAATCTACTAGGCTACACAGAGATCAAACTACTAGGCTACACAGAGATCAACCTACTAGGCTACACAGAGATCAACCTACTAGGCTACACAGAGATCAAAGTACTAGGCTACACAGAGATCAAACTACTAGGCTACACATAGATCAAAGTACTAGGCTACACAGAGATCAACCTACTAGGCTACACAGAGATCAACCTACTAGGCTACACAGAGATCAAAGTACTAGGCTACACAGATATAAACCTACTAGGCTACACAGAGATCAACCTACTAGGCTACACAGAGATCAAACTACTAGGCTACACAGAGATCAACCTACTAGGCTACACAGAGATCAAACTACTAGGCTACACAGAGATCAACCTACTAGGCTACACAGAGATCAAAGTACTAGGCTACACAGATATCAACCTACTAGGCTACACAGAGATCAACCTACTAGGCTACACAGAGATCAACCTTCTAGGCTACACAGAGATCAACCTACTAGGCTACACAGAGATCAAAGTACTAGGCTACACAGAGATCAATCTACTAGGCTACACAGAGATCAAACTACTAGGCTACACAGAGATCAACCTACTAGGCTACACAGAGATCAACCTACTAGGCTACACAGAGATCAACCTACTAGGCTACACAGAGATCAACCTACTAGGCTACACAGAGATCAAAATACTAGGCTACACAGAGATCAAACTACTAGGCTACACATAGATCAAAGTACTAGGCTACACAGAGATCAACCTACTAGGCTACACAGAGATCAACCTACTAGGCTACACAGAGATCAAAGTACTAGGCTACACAAATATCAACCTACTAGGCTACACAGAGATCAACCTACTAGGCTACACAGAGATCAACCTACTAGGCTACACAGAGATCAACCTACTAGGCTACACAGAGATCAACCTACTAGGCTACACAGAGATCAAACTACTAGGCTACACAGAGATCAACCTACTAGGCTACACAGAGATCAACCTACTAGGCTACATAGAGATCAAAGTACTAGGCTACACAGAGATCAACCTACTAGGCTACACAGAGATCAACCTACTAGGCTACACAGAGATCAACCTACTAGGCTACACAGAGATCAACCTACTAGGCTACACAGAGATCAACCTGCTAGGCTACACAGAGATCAACCTTCTAGGCTACACAGAGATCAAACTACTAGGCTACACAGAGATCAAAGTACTAGGCTACACAGAGATCAACCTACTAGGCTACACAGAGATCAACCTACTAGGCTACACAGAGATCAACCTACTAGGCTACACAGAGATCAAAGTACTAGGCTACACAGAGATCAACCTACTAGGCTACACAGAGATCAACCTACTAGGCTACACAGAGATCAACCTTCTAGGCTACACAGAGATCAAACTACTAGGCTACACAGAGATCAATCTACTAGGCTACACAGAGATCAACCTACTAGGCTACACAGAGATCAACCTACTAGGCTACACAGAGATCAAAGTACTAGGCTACACAGAGATCAACCTTCTAGGCTACACAGAGATCAAAGTACTAGGCTACACAGAGATCAATCTACTAGGCTACACAGAGATCAAAGTACTAGGCTACACAGAGATCAACCTACTAGGCTACACATATATCAACCTTCTAGGCTACACAGAGATCAAAGTACTAGGCTACACAGAGATCAACCTACTAGGCTACACAGAGATCAAAGTACTAGGCTACACAGAGATCAACCTACTAGGCTACACAGAGATCAACCTACTAGGCTACACAGAGATCAACCTACTAGGCTACACAGAGATCAACCTGCTAGGCTACACAGAGATCAACCTTCTAGGCTACACAGAGATCAAACTACTAGGCTACACAGAGATCAAAGTACTAGGCTACACAGAGATCAAAGTACTAGGCTACACAGAGATCAACCTACTAGGCTACACAGAGATCAACCTACTAGGCTACACAGAGATCAACCTACTAGGCTACACAGAGATCAAAGTACTAGGCTACACAGAGATCAACCTACTAGGCTACACAGAGATCAACCTACTAGGCTACACAGAGATCAACCTTCTAGGCTACACAGAGATCAAACTACTAGGCTACACAGAGATCAACCTACTAGGCTACACAGAGATCAAAGTACTAGGCTACACAGAGATCAATCTACTAGGCTACACAGAGATCAACCTACTAGGCTACACAGAGATCAACCTACTAGGCTACACAGAGATCAAAGTACTAGGCTACACAGATATAAACCTACTAGGCTACACATAGATCAACCTACTAGGCTACACAGAGATCAAACTACTAGGCTACACAGAGATCAACCTACTAGGCTACACAGAGATCAAACTACTAGGCTACACAGAGATCAACCTACTAGGCTACACAGAGATCAAAGTACTAGGCTACACAGATATCAACCTACTAGGCTACACAGAGATCAACCTACTAGGCTACACAGAGATCAACCTTCTAGGCTACACAGAGATCAACCTACTAGGCTACACAGAGATCAAAGTACTAGGCTACACAGAGATCAATCTACTAGGCTACACAGAGATCAAACTACTAGGCTACACAGAGATCAACCTACTAGGCTACACAGAGATCAACCTACTAGGCTACACAGAGATCAACCTACTAGGCTACACAGAGATCAACCTACTAGGCTACACAGAGATCAAAATACTAGGCTACACAGAGATCAAACTACTAGGCTACACATAGATCAAAGTACTAGGCTACACAGAGATCAACCTACTAGGCTACACAGAGATCAACCTACTAGGCTACACAGAGATCAAAGTACTAGGCTACACAAATATCAACCTACTAGGCTACACAGAGATCAACCTACTAGGCTACACAGAGATCAACCTACTAGGCTACACAGAGATCAACCTACTAGGCTACACAGAGATCAACCTACTAGGCTACACAGAGATCAAACTACTAGGCTACACAGAGATCAACCTACTAGGCTACACAGAGATCAACCTACTAGGCTACACAGAGATCAAAGTACTAGGCTACACAGAGATCAACCTACTAGGCTACACAGAGATCAACCTACTAGGCTACACAGAGATCAACCTACTAGGCTACACAGAGATCAACCTACTAGGCTACACAGAGATCAACCTGCTAGGCTACACAGAGATCAACCTTCTAGGCTACACAGAGATCAAACTACTAGGCTACACAGAGATCAAAGTACTAGGCTACACAGAGATCAACCTACTAGGCTACACAGAGATCAACCTACTAGGCTACACAGAGATCAACCTACTAGGCTACACAGAGATCAAAGTACTAGGCTACACAGAGATCAACCTACTAGGCTACACAGAGATCAACCTACTAGGCTACACAGAGATCAACCTTCTAGGCTACACAGAGATCAAACTACTAGGCTACACAGAGATCAATCTACTAGGCTACACAGAGATCAACCTACTAGGCTACACAGAGATCAACCTACTAGGCTACACAGAGATCAAAGTACTAGGCTACACAGAGATCAACCTTCTAGGCTACACAGAGATCAAAGTACTAGGCTACACAGAGATCAATCTACTAGGCTACACAGAGATCAAAGTACTAGGCTACACAGAGATCAACCTACTAGGCTACACATATATCAACCTTCTAGGCTACACAGAGATCAAAGTACTAGGCTACACAGAGATCAACCTACTAGGCTACACAGAGATCAAAGTACTAGGCTACACAGAGATCAACCTACTAGGCTACACAGAGATCAACCTACTAGGCTACACAGAGATCAACCTACTAGGCTACACAGAGATCAACCTTCTAGGCTACACAGAGATCAACCTTCTAGGCTACACAGAGATCAAACTACTAGGCTACACAGAGATCAAAGTACTAGGCTACACAGAGATCAAAGTACTAGGCTACACAGAGATCAACCTACTAGGCTACACAGAGATCAACCTACTAGGCTACACAGAGATCAACCTACTAGGCTACACAGAGATCAAAGTACTAGGCTACACAGAGATCAACCTACTAGGCTACACAGAGATCAACCTACTAGGCTACACAGAGATCAACCTTCTAGGCTACACAGAGATCAAACTACTAGGCTACACAGAGATCAACCTACTAGGCTACACAGAGATCAAAGTACTAGGCTACACAGAGATCAATCTACTAGGCTACACAGAGATCAACCTACTAGGCTACACAGAGATCAAAGTACTAGGCTACACAGAGATCAACCTACTAGGCTACACAGAGATCAAAGTACTAGGCTACAAGGCTCATATCAGTATAATAGTTTAGATATTGCATACCAGTTCACCACCTATCCTATGTCTATATTTAATCTATGTATCCTACATATTCTATAGCATGTTTCTATGGTCTCCCATCTCTGGTAGTACAGAGGGGTGTTTTCTGTTAGGGTACCAGCTAGCATTCCAGGTTGACTCTTTAGCAGCTCAGAAATGTTAACAGTTTTCTCTTTCACACACACACACGCACACACACACACACACACACACACACACACACACACACACACACACACACACACACACACACACACACACACACACACACACACACTTCCTGCTAGCTAGGTTTGTACAGGTTGTGGTCTCTCTCTCTCCCAGTTCAAACAAACCAGGTGTGTTTCTGCATTAAAAGTCATTCTGCTGCTGCACCACTGAAGCCACTTCACACTTTGACATTTTCTGAAGTGAAGGCTAACACATGTTTTTGTCATAGGTGCTTTTGGAAGCGCTAGCAGACAGCGCTCACAGAAATTGGCATTCTCCTTGAGGCAAGATTGTGGGGGGTTTTCTCCAAACCTTGGAAATATACAGCCTTTGGAGAAAAAATCCTACAATAAATAAAATGTTAAAATCAATATGATTGTGTTTTTCAAATGTGAAGTTTGTTTGCAGAGAGATAGAGAGAGAGAGAGAGAGAGAGAGAGAGAGAGAGAGAGAGAGAAGAGAGAGGAGAGAGAGAGAGATAGAGATGAGAGACGATGAGAGGACGATGGATCAAGAGTCTGACTCTCTCGTAACCGAGAGGAGAAGAAGAGAGAGAGATAGATAGAGAAGAGAACCCTTTTGAAGTTGCAGTAATCCACCCATCCATCTGTAGTCTCTGTTGTGTTGCCCCCACCCTCTTCACTCCTCCATAGCATTTCCAGAACCTTCCCTCTGTATCTGTCTAGGACACGCTACACAGAGCAGTTGTTTTAATGGAGTTAAAACCAACCTGGTGGGACAGCCTCCCACCACAACCCAATGAGAAAAGGAAGACTATCTTTCCCTGGTTGGTTTACAACTCAATGCTATTGACATCCCTTGCCCCAAGGAAACATGGCAAGCTGTTTTCTCTGCTTCTGCTCCTGCAGATTAGTGCACACACACACACACACAGTTTTCTATCATTGTCTTGAATGCAACAACTGCCGTCCTAAGCTTCTCTAACTCCTCTTCCTAAATCCTCATTCCTAACTCCTCTTCCTAACTCCTCATTCCTAACTCCTCTTCCTAACTCCTATTTCCTAACTCCTCATTCCTAACTCCTCATTCCTAACTCCTCATTCCTAACTCCTCATTCCTATCTCCTCATTCCTATCTCCTCATTCCTATTCCTCATTCCTATCTCCTCATTCCTATCTCCTCATTCCATAACTCCTCATTCCTATCTCCTCATTCCTAACTGGTCAGATTACACGGCAATGCAGGAAAACTCCTAGACCTAGGCAGCCAATTGCATCTTTCACTCAAAGCCTTAGACATTAACCTTAGCTTAAATGTGTGGATCTTAAATTATCTGAAAGTTGGAAACCCATCAGCGAGTTGCTCCAGATTTTAGGTGATCAGGTTTCAGCAGGGTGTATCAGTGAGTCTGTTCTAGATGTGAGGTTAGCTAGTGTTCAGCAGGGGTACAGTGAGTCTGTTTTCTAGATGTGAGGTTAGCTAGGGTTTCAAGCCAGGGTGTATCAGTGTTCTAGCTGTGAGGTTAGCTAGGGTTCAGCAAGGGTGTGAATCAGTGTTCTAGATGTGAGGGTTAGCTAGGGTTTCAGCAGGGTGTGATCAGTGTTCTAGATGTGAGGTTAGCTAGTGTTCAGCGGGTGTATCAGGGGGGGTAGGTCAGGGGTATCAGTGAGTCTGTTCTAGATGTGAGGTTTAGCTAGGGTTCTTCAGGGTGTATCAGATGCAGTCTGTTCTAGTGATGTTGAGGTTAGCTGGGTGGTATCCAGGGTGTATCGTGTCTAGATGTGAGGTTAGCTAGGGTTTATCAGGGTGTATCAGTGTTCTAGATGTGAGGTTAGCTAGGGTTCAGCAGGGTGTATCAGTGAGTCTGTTCTAGATGTGAGGTTAGCTAGGGTTCAGCAGGGTGTATCAGTGAGTCTGTTCTAGATGTGAGGTTAGCTAGGGTGTATCAGGGTGCATCAGGGGAGGGTCTAGGGACCGGGGGGGTGGGGGGGGGGGGGGGGGGGGGGCTGTGCCTACTGTGAGAGAAGAGGGGTACTAAGATGCCAGCTGTCAACCAACTGTCCCCTACCAACTGTGTGTGTGTGTCGTTCCCCTACCAACTCCCTGTCTGCCCAGCTGTCTTGTCTGTCTCAGCATTAGGGACTCTAGGGTTTCTATGAAATCTGTTGAATTTTTTTGCCTGATGCTGTTTGTGTTTTTTTCTTCTTCGGGATTCCGGTTTACCCCCATTTTTTTTTTCACGTTTTCACTCTTAAAATCACACGTTTATAACAGAAAAACAACACAATTGGATGTTTTAAGTCCACAACAATGCTTAAATCACATCAGGAGACCACGTCAGGGTAAAAAAAAAAAACAGCATCAGGCAAAAAATTCTACCCTTTAATGCAACTGTGCACCAGCAGGAGACTGTTGGGTTAGTGGTGTTTCTGTGGCGATCATGTGATTGCAGAGTTTGATAAACAAATGGCCGCTGGATTGATGCAAATAATGATGATGTCATTCTGCCAGGTCGGCATAACCTACTTTGTCTTTCTATCTCTACCAGAACAAGGTTATTGTTAGCATCATCGCTAACCGCTACACAGAGTGGAGACGTACGCACCACACACTCAGACAGACAGGGGCATTCCTGTACCGTTTCACAAAGTTGCAATACATTTTATTATACTGTTGAAATCAGTTTTAATGTCTGGATTCAAATCAAATCAAATTGTATTTGTCACATGCACCAAATACAACAGGTGTAGACCTTACAGTGAAATGCTTGTGGTCCTCTGTAGCTCAATTGGTAGAGCACGGCGCTTGTAACGCCAGGGTAGTGGGTTCGATCCCCGGGACCACCCGTACGTAAAAATGATTGCACGCATGACTGTAAGTCGCTTTGGATAAAAGCGTCTGCTAAATGGCATATTATTATTATTACTGACAAGCCCTTAACCAACAATGCAGTTTTAAGAAAATAGAGTTAAGAAAATATTTACTAAATAAAGTAAAGGCTATACACAGGGTACCGAGTCCTAGTCCAGTAATCTACCCCAATGCCCCTAGTCCAGTAATCTACCCTAGTGATCCTAGTCCAGTAATCTACCCTAGTGATCCTAGTCCAGTAATCTACCCTAGTGATCCTAGTCCAGTAATCTACCCTAGTGATCCTAGTCCAGTAATCTACCCTAGTGATCCTAGTCCAGTAATCTTCCCTAGTGATCCTAGTCCAGTAACTACCCAGTGATCCATTTCCCGTAATCACCCTAGTGTCCCAGTCCCAGTAATTACCCTAGTGTCCTTTCCAGTAATTTCCCCAGTGAAACCCCAGTCCCCTAAATCTACCCCAGTGATCCTTAAAATCCCCCGTAATTCCCCAGTGATCCCAGCCCCGTAAACCCTTTCCCCTTGGGTCCTAGTTTCCCTAATCTTACCCTATGATCCCAGTCCAGTAATCTACCCTGTGATCCTTTGTCCATAATCTTTTCCCCCAGTGATCCTAGTCCAGTAATCTTCCCCCTTTATCCCAGTCCGTAATCTTCCCCAGTGATCCTAGTTCCCGTAATTACCCCAGTGATCCCAGTCCAGTAATCTACCCTAGTGACCCAGTCCAGTAAATTTCCCCAGGGGTCAGTCCAGTAATTTTTCCCTAGTGGGTCCTAGTCCAGAATCACCCCAAAATGATCCCAGTCCAGTAATCTACCCTAGTGATCCTGTCCAGTAATCTCCCTTGTGATCCTAGTCCAGTAAACTACCCCCATGCCCCCTAGTCCGTAATCTACCCTAGTGCCCCAGTCCCGTAAATTTCCCCCAGTGATCCTAGTCCCGTAATCTTAAACCCCATTTAAACCTAGTCCATTAATCTACCCCCCCGTAAATCCTTCCAAAAATTTTAAACTACCCCAGTTTTTTTTTATCCTTCCATTCCCCGTTTTAAAATTTTTTCCCCATTTTTTGGGCCCCCAGGGTTTCCCTGTAAACTTCCCCATGATCCTATTTCCCGTAATCTTCCCCATTTTTTCCCAGTCCGTAACCCCACCCTAGTGCTTTTAAACCCCGAAACTACCCCAACCCAATCCCTTTAAACCCACCCCATTAAAACCCCATTTCCCTTTAAAACATAAAAACCCCCAAATCTCTTACCCTTCCCGTTTCCCGTTTAAAAAAAAGGTCCCAACCTAATTTACCCCCTTTACCCCTTTGTCCCTTTTGCAGAAACCCTCTTATCCAGAGCGACTTACAATAGTGCATTCACCCTTATAGCCAGTGGGATAACCACTTTACAATTTTAAAAAATTGTTTTTAATTTTTTTTTTTTGGAGGGGGGGGGGGGGAGTTGGGGTAAGGGGGGGTAGAAGGATTACTTTATCCTATCCCAGGTATTCCTTAAAGAGGTGGGGTTTCAAATGTCTCCGGAAAGTGGTGAGTGACTCCGCTGTCCTGGCGTCGTGAGGGAGCTTGTTCCACCATTGGGGTGCCAGAGCAGCGAACAGTTTTGACTGGGCTGAGCGGGAACTATGCTTCCGTAGAGGAAGGGGAGCCAGCAGGCCAGAGGTGGATGAACGCAATGTCCTCATTTGGGTGTAGGGACTGATCAGAGCCTGAAGGTACGGAGGTGCCGTTCCCCTCACAGCTCCGTAGGCAAGCACCATGGTCTTGTAGCAGATGCGAGCTTCAACTGGAAGCCAGTGGAGTGTGCGGAGGAGCTGGGTGAGGTGAGAGAACTTGGGAAGGTTGAACACCAGACGGGCGGCTGAGCCCAGCCAACAGCGAGTTGCAGTAATCCAGACGGGAGATGACAAGTGCCTGGATTAGGACCTGTGCCGCTTCCTGTGTAAGGCAGGGTCGTACTCTCCGAATGTTGTAGAGCATGAACCTACAGGATCGGGTCACCGCCTTGATGTTAGCGGAGAACGACAGGGTGTTGTCCAGGGTCACGCCAAGGCTCTTTGCACTCTGGGAGGAGGACACAACGGAGTTGTCAACCGTGATGGCGAGATCATGGAACAGGCATTCCTTCCCCGGGAGGAAGAGCAGCTCCGTCTTGCCAAGGTTCAGCTTGAGGTGGTGATCCGTCATCCATACTGATATGTCTGCCAGACATGCAGAGATGCGATTCGCCACCTGGTTATCAGAAGGGGGAAAGGAGAAGATTAGTTGTGTGTCGTCAGCATAGCAATGATAGGAGAGGCCATGTGAGGATATGACAGAGCCAAATGACTTGGTGTATAGCGAGAATAGGTGAGGGCCTAGAACTGAGCCCTGGGGGACACCAGTGGTGAGAGCACGTGTTGCGGAGACAGCTTCTCGCCACGCCACTTGGTAGGAGCGACCGGTCAGGTAGGACGCAATCCAAGAGTGAGCCGCGCCGGAGATGCCCAGCTCGGAGAGGGTGGAGAGGAGGATCTGATGGTTCACAGTATCAAAGGCAGCAGACAGGTCTAGAAGGACAAGAACATACATAGCCTATAGACTGTGTACCTAGACCTGTTTGTCAAAGGCTCTTCGTCCTTCATCAACATATCTCTTACATGTTTAAATTAACATTGACACATAGCCTGCTGTGTAGGATACCCCTGTGCGTGTTCTCCTATTTGTCTGGTATCATCTGTGCAGGAGTTTTGCTGGCTCTACTTCCTTCCTCATATCCAAGGTCCTCCTCTCTCTCTGCAGAGGTCTGTGTGTGTCAGTCTCTGTACTCTGCTCCTAGATGTATGTGTCAGTCTCTGTACTCTGCTCCTAGATGTATGTGTCAGTCTCCGTAGCAGTAGACCATCTCTTCGTGTTTAAGATCTGCATAGCCTGTGTCCTCCTATTTCTCTAGTGCAACCCTGTCTTTGGCTCCTCTGCCTTCGTCATGCTGTATATCAATGGCCAAAACCACCAGGATTCATATATAAGAAAGCCTACTAGGGCTTTGGCCTATACTAGATTCAATACAAAAATGTTTAGACTGTTAGATCAAAGCCAAATAAGAAATATGTTTTCATTGTTGGAAACTGCTTCCCATACATTTTAAATAGATGGATTTTTTTAGGATACATGATACTGTATATGTTAAATGCATTATTTAAATGTATTTAATGTATTTCAAAATACATTAAAGAATGTATTTATCGATATATTTGGTAAATATATATATTTTTAAATATTTGGAAATGTTTTGTAAAATATATTCCAACATGCATTTAAATGTATTTGTAAGAAATATTTTTTTTTAAATTCAAATTAGTGATGTTACGTTTGATACCGTAGCTTAGCAGGTAGAGTAAGGAACTATGTAACATTTAGGGACATGAGGGTATGAGGTTGAATCCCATTGAAGGCACACTATTTTGAAAATTGTTTTATGTGAAACGACACTTTCTGCACTGTTGTTCTAATAATTCATTTTATTTAGTATAGTATAAGCTTCTGTCTTAAAGGGATCCATTTACCATACAGTCCACGGAAACGTTGTCTTTCGCTTTTTTAACCCAACCCCTCATCACACAAGCACAGTTTAGAGGGATGACCAGCAGTTTCCAGCAGATTCTGTTGTTCTTTTAGTTTCATTGGCTCTATAGTTCCGTGTTTCTACAGTTCTACATTTCACATTTACATTTCAGTCATTTAGCAGACGCTCTTATCCAGAGCCACTTACAGTTGAATGCATACTTTATTTTTTTCATTTTTTTATTTTTATACTACAGTTCTACAGTTCTATAGTTCTACAGTTCTACAGTTCTACAGTTCTATAGTTCTATAGTTCTACAGTTCTATAGTTCTACAGTTCTACAGTTCTACAGTTCTACAGTTCTACAGTTCTACAGTTCTATAGTTCTACAGTTCTACAGTTCTACAGTTCTATAGTTCTATAGTTCTATAGTTCTACAGTTCTACAGTTCTATAGTTCTACAGTTCTGCAGTTCTATAGTTCTACAGTTCTATAGTTCTACAGTTCTATAGTTCTATAGTTCTATAGTTCCGCCACAAACCGTGGTTATTTATTGTTTTTGTGTTCCAAGTTCCAAGAAACGCCGCCTGGTCCGTCCTCTCCCATTTATTCCTTCATAATTCACAGACTCATTGGAGTGTTGCTAAGAATAGCTCGTTATTACGTTTCTTGGCATGGAGATACACACCACATTATGGTGCACACATATGGTGGAAGGATGCTCTCCTCCTACACCCTCCTACAGTATGCTCAGTTGACCTGTAGAGTTTAAGAGTTGTTTTCCTGGAAAAAATATTAAATGTAGGCCTAGTTCTGGACTAAATAGAGATTCTCTATTAAACAGGATTTTTAGTCCAGTAATCAGAATCCGGGAAACCGACCCTAAATGTATGCTAATCTGCCTTGAAGAGATGTTCTGAGCGTCTGTGTGGCGCCAATCCTCCCTGGCCCTGTCGCCAGTCTTCTTAGCTCTCCCACTCCTCCACATTCTATCTGTGTTGTCCTGTTATAGGAATCCCTCCCTCCCAGTCACCTCGTGTCTCCTCTCTTCTCACCCTGCCTGCCTACTGCCATTAATAGAAATGGTATCAGCTGTGTCTCTGGTTCTACTGGGAGACGTTGAAGGGCATGTGGCGTGTTTGACCGAGAGAGGCTCTGACAGGACAGGAGGCCTTATCCCATTGGCTATTATAGGAATTCCACCAGTCAGTGAGTCTAGTCGGATATACTCCAGTCGCCTGACGGGTTAGCCTAATTACACTGGGTATGGAATCTCCTAGAGGACTAGGGGGCGCCCCCCCCCCCCCCCCCCCCCCCCCGGCTTGTGGTCTCAACTCCTCTCATCTCTCTGACCGTCTTCTGGGCAATCGGGGGTCTACTACCAGCCTGACTCCCGAGTGGCGCAGTGGTCTAAGGCACTGCATCGCAGTGCTAGCTGTGCCACTAGAGATCCTGGTTCAAATCCAGGCTCTGTCGCAACCGGGAGACCAATGGGGCGGTGCACAATTGGTCCAGGGTAGGGGAGGGAATGGCCGGCAGGGAGGTAGCTCAGTTGGTGGAGCATGGCATTTGCAACGCCAGGGTTGTGGGTTCGATTCCCACGGGAGGCCAGTATTAAAATAATGTATGCACTAACTGTAAGTCGCTCTGTATAAGAGCGTCTGTAAAATGTTAATATCCATAGAAACAGCCTCTATAGAGATGGCTGGAGGTGGGCTCTGTTGATGTCGTGTAAAGCTTCCCCCAGACGTCAAACTATCCATAGTGACAGTTAGCCTAGTGTTGTGGGAAATAGCCTAGGCAAAAAGAATAAACAGAATAAAATCTGGACATTACATGGTGCTTATCTTTCCGATTAATTTTGGACAGAGGATCCAGAACATAGCCGGGTGGACTGCTCGACAGATGGCCTGGGACGTGGACTTATCTAAAACATAACACCACTTTTGAAGTCTGAAAACATCTGACAAACTTTGGTTTTTAGGGTGAACTGTCTCTTTAAGGATTGTGTTACATGCTACTCTGCATTCCTTCTTAGGGCAGCAGCAGCTCTCCATTAAAACGCCGCATTATGCACAAGCTGGGGCTGGCCGTCCGTTTGACTGGTTTTACACTCATTCATTCAAGCAACGAAGTTAGGCGTTAATCTAGGATAGATGAGACATGGTTTGAAGTAGCCTGAGAAAAATGAATTACAGGAGATACAGATACTTTTAATATCATCAACTCACACCAAAGACTGTGTTGTTCTTGTTGCCTCCTTACTAGGTTGTGATATAGGCTAAGGCTATTTCCATACTGTCTTCATTGGTTTAAAGAGAGAGGACTAGCCTCTCTGCACAAGGAAAGCATAGTTATTCTAAAGCATTAGGGCTAGAAGCAGACCTAGGCCTAAGTTAGTTTGTCACATTTTTGCCTCGTCCCCCGTTCCATGTCCAGTGTGTGAATGTTGCTGTTTTTAATTCAGAGACATTCATCGCCTGAAAACGTTAATCTCTGCCTGGTTACAGAACCATTATGCTGCCATCCAAAAAAATTAAAATATATGACATCATCACATAACCTTCTTTACTTTAGATGACATGGAGTTCAGGGGATAATAATGTTTATTTATACTGATGGCCCTTGGAACAGGATAGTTCAACTGGGGGGAACTTGTCACTATATTTACACCTCAGTCAGAAAGTGTTATCTGTCAGACAGGACAGGAATGCTTTATTTAAAGCTAGGCTACATTCTGGGATTCCAAAGCGAAAACAAAAATAATGGGGTCCTCGCCACTTGTTTTGTTTTTTTAAGCAGCTGAGGGATGAGGTCCTCTGTAGCTCAATTGGTAGAGCATGGCGCTTGTAACGCCGGGGGTAGTGGGTTTCGATCCCCGGGACCACCCGTACGTAAAAATGTATGCGCACATGACTGTAAGTCTCTTCGGATAAAAGCGTCTGCTAAATGGCATATTATTATTATTATTATTATTATTATGAGCCTGTATGAACAGCTTCCCAGATCAGACTGTAGATATTTCATTCCCTTGTTATACCAGTTTAGCTTAGCTTAGCCTAATGATCCCTGTGTGTAATTGTTCACCCTGAATATTCCATGACCCTCTTTATTGTCCAATACAAATACACCATAACTTTAAACACCGTGCTGTTTTATATATGGCTATATTCAGTATCGCGTCGAATCAAATGTTATTGGTCGCGTACACATATTTTCTAGACGTTGTCGCAGGTGCAGCGAAATGCTTATGTTCCTAGCTCCAACAGTGCAGCGATACGTGAAAATACAAAATAATACACACAAATCAAAAATATATATACTAGACACAGTATGACAGTAGACAGCAGAACACATTAAACTAACATAACATCATGACGTTGTATTGCCATTTTCCAAAATAGACGGCAGAATATATTTCTCCCTTCTGTATGAATACCTTGAGCATGACGTGAGTTATTCTGGAAGTGTGAAGGTCTGGTCTGGAAATTAGAGTCATACACTGTGGAATCTCTGTATAGAGCAGGAACCTAGGTATAGGAACCAAGGAAGTTTTTTGCAGATATCCCAACGGTTGTATCACAACTAAAGTTGCATAAATAACTCTAAATTAAGCGTATCCAGTGCATTCGGAAAGTATTTAGACCCTTTCAATTTTTCTACATTTTGTTATGTAACAGCCTTATTCTAAAATGGATTACATTGTTTCCCCCCCCCCCCCCTCATCAATCTACACACAATACCCCATAATGACAAAGCGAAAACACATTTTTTAGAAATGTTTACAAATGTATACAAAATAAAAAACAGAAATACATTATTTACATAAGTATTGAGACCCTTTGCTATGAGACTAGAAATTGAGCTCAGGTGCATCCTCATTCCACGCTGGACAAAAGTGTCACCATGGTGCCTCCAGGAACTGCCTGCCACCCCGCAATGCTGTGACCTGGTTCAATTAGACTGTCTTTCAGACCAGGAACTGCCTGCCACCCCGCAATGCTGTGACCTGGTTCAAGCAGACTGTCTTTCAGACCAGGAACTGCCTGCCACCCCGCAATGCTGTGACCTGGTTCAAGCAGACTGTCTTTCAGACTCTTCACCTCTCCCTCTCCTTTCATCTCCCAGGCATCTACATACACACGCACATGCATGCACGCAAATGCACACGCACACACACACACACACACACCACTCCTAGCCACCCACCACTATTTAAATCTTAATCTCTGTGCTTTGGGCAGTGGACTGCATCAGCCATCAGAACTGGCCTCTCTCTCTCTCTCTCTCTCTCTCTCTCTCTCCCTCTCCCTCTCCCTCTCCCTCTCCCTCTCTCTCTCTCTCCCTCTCCCTCTCCCTCTCTCTCTCCTTCACAAAGACCCAGTCAGTCAGTATGGACGGTACAGCCAAAGACCCAGTCAGTCAGTGTGGACGGTAAAGCCAAAGCCCAGGTCTGTGTGCCTGTAGACCCCTGTGATCTGGCCTCCTTTTGATGAAAAGTCTCTTTTTGATGTGCGAAGGCTATCAGGAAGCCAAAGACCATTCCATTCCACGGCTCAGAGCTCACAGCCAGCTCAGGTTCAGCCTCTGGATGTGTCCCAAATGGCACCCTATTCCATATCCCTACATAGTACACTACTTTTGACCAAAGCCCCATGGACCCTGATCAAAACTAGTGCACTACATAGGGAATAGGGTGGCATTTCGGACGCACATCGGACTCTGAATCAGTTTTGGGGAGGGTGATCGTTGATGCCTGTCTGACGGACTCTGTGTCTTTTCTGCTGATTTAGATGACAAGGTCTCAGGTCTCTCCTTGTGCCGGGGTGACAGGTGACGGGTCGGCTGATCAAGAGAGGAATGCAGCGATGTGATGACGGACGTTTTACCCTCTGAATAGCCCTCTTCACTTCTCAGAGTGCTGAAAGGAACTCTTTATCTATCTGCTAGTCTACCAGAGAGGAGACCGTTCAAATCCTCGTCCCAAATGGCACCCTATTCCCTATATAGTGCACTACTTTTGACCATATCCTTAGGGGCTCTGGCACCCTATTCCCTATATAGTGCAAACTCCTTTTTGACCATATCCTTAGGGGTTCTGGCACCCTATTCCCTATATAGTGCACTACTTTTGACCATATCCTTAGGGGTTCTGGCACCCTATTCCCTATATAGTGCACTACTTTTGACCATATCCTTAGGGGTTCTGGCACCCTATTCCCTATATAGGCACTACTTTGACATATCCTTAGGGTCTGGCACCCTATTCCTATATAGTGCACTACTTTTGACATATCCTTAGGGCTCTGGCACCCTATTCCTATATAGTGCACTACTTTTGACTCCTTAGGGGCCCTCAAATAGTAGGTGCCATGCTCTTATCTGCAGCCACTCCGTCAGGCCACTCCCTTGTCCGTCAGGCCACTCCCGCCAGGCCACTCCTCCAGGCCACTCCCTGGTGCAGCAGGCCACTCCGCGTCAGGCCACTCCCTGTTCATCAGGCCACTCGCCAGGCCACTCATTACCACTCCTTGGTCATCAGGCCACTCCGCCAGGCCACTCCCTGGTGCATCAGGCCACTCCCAGTCACTCTAGGCCTTGTGTCAGGCCCCGAACTCCTGGGCATGGCACTCGCAGCACCGGTGATCAGAGTTGCTCCCTGTATAGGCCACCTGTTACCTAAGCTTGTCGTATCAACAAGGAGAAGGTGATTATATGGTATCAACAATGACGGATTATATGGTTCAGGGATTCTGATTCTGGAATCCTGTGTGACTTCAACTCAATTACCGGGGGCAAAAGGTTTCACTGCAGTTTTCACTGCAGCCACATTTTTCAGTGATTGTTTTCACAAAACAGACGACAGCTTTTTGGTTGTTTTCTATGATAATACGTCTTATTCATTAGGCCTCATATTTGACACTTTCTGCCAAAAAATACATGTTTTTAGTTGGTATTTTCTTAGATTCTGCACTGTTGTTAACAGTCTGTTGATTAATGTAGAACTTGGCTACATGCAGTAAATTACAGGCAAAGCAGAGCTTAGGAAACAGCATGGTATTCTGGTGGGTTTAGGAACCATTTAGTTCTCCTGTAAAGTTTAGGCTGAATTACATTCTCCTCTCCACTGGGGAATGATCAACCCTCAAGAGCATGTGACCACGTCCCTCTCAGTCACTTCTCTCCCTTCTCCTCTTCTCTTGTTTCTCTCACTTCTGTCTTGCCCTCTCCCAATGCTGTCTTGTGTTCCTCTATCTCCTCTCTCAATCCTCTCTCCTTTCTCCTGTTCTCCCTCTCCCAATGCTGTCTTGTGGTCCTCTATCTCCTCTCTCAATCCTCTCTCCTTTCTCCTGTTCTCCCTCTCCCAATGCTGTCTTGTGTTCCTCTATCTCCTCTCTCAATCCTTTCTCCTGTTCTCCCTCTCCCAATGCTGTCTTGTGTTCCTCTATCTCCTCTCTCAATCCTCTCTCCTTTCTCCTGTTCTCCCTCTCCCAATGCTGTCTTGTGTTCCTCTATCTCCTCTCTCAATCCTTTCTCCTGTTCTCCCTCTCCCAATGCTGTCATGTATTCCTCTATCTCATCTCTCCCACCTCTCTCTCTCTCCTTCCATATCTCTCCCACCTCTCTCTCTCTCTCTCTCCTTCCATATATCTCCCACCTCTCTCGCTCTTCTTCATATACTCCTACCCCTCCCTCTCTCTCCCCCATTCTCTCCAGTCCCCTCTGCTCCTCCAATTCTCCACCCTCTCTCCCTCCATATCCCTCCCACCTCTCTCCTCCTTCCTACTCTCCATTTCTCTCCCCTCTCTCTCTCCTTCCATATCTATCCCACGCTCTCTTTCTCTCTCCCACCTCTCTCGCTCTCCTTCCATATCTCTCCCACCTCTCTTCCTCTCCTTTCATATCTCTCCCATTCCTCTCTCCTCCCTTCCATATTTTCCCACTCTCTCCCTCTCCTTCTTATCCTCCCACCCTCTCCTCTCCTTCCATATCTCTCCCACCTCTCTCTCTCTCCTTCCATATATTTCCCACCTCTCTCCCTCTCCTTCTTTATCTCTCCCACCTCTCTCTCTCTCCTTCCATATATCTCCCACCTCTCTCTCTCCTCCTTCCATATATCTCCCACCTCTCTCTCTCCTTCCATATCCTCCCCATCCTCCCCCTTCTCTCTCCCCTCTCCTTCCATATCTCTCCCACCTCTCTCTCCCCTTTCCATATCTCTCCCACCTCTCTCTCTCCTTCCATATCTCTCCACCCCTCCCTCCCTTCTCCTCCTCCCACCTCTCTCCTTCTCCTCTCCACCTCTCTCTCCCTCTCTCTTCACCCACCCTCTCTCATCTCCTTCCATACTCTCCCACCTCTCTCTCTCCCCATATCTCTCCCAATCCTTATCTCTCTCCTCTCCATATATCTCTCCACCCTCTCCTCTTCCTCTCCACCTCCTCTCTCTTCCTATCCTCCCACCTCTCTCTCTCTCCCTTCCTAAGACTCTCCCTCCCACCTTTCTCCTTCCATATCTCTCCCACCTCTCTCTCTCCTTCCATATCTCTCCCACCTCTCTCTCTCCTTCCATTACTCTCTCACCTCTCTCTCCTTCCATATCTATCCCACCGCTCTCCTTCTCTCTCCCACCTCTCTCTTTCTCTCTCCCACCTCTCTCTTTCTCCTTCCATATCTCGCAGGCAGAGGTCAGTAATCCATATCAGAGTCCAAACAGGAGACAAAGGGCTGTTTGATCCTAGACACATGAAACATGGGATGTATACGGAGGGTACGGGGCAACAGAAGACGAACAGCAGAGGGGCTAATGATCTTGGAGATGGGGAAAGGGCCAATAAACCGGGGGGAAAGTTTGCGGGACTCCACCCGGAGGGGCAGATCTCGGGTGGACAGCCATACCTTCTGCCCAAGACGATACCGGGGAGCCGGGGTCTCCGGTGGCAGTCCACTTGTCGTTGATACCTGGAGGTGGTCTTGAGAAGAGCCGACCGGGCTCTCTTCCAGGTACGACGACAGCGGCGGACAAACATCTGGGCCGAGGGTATGCCGACCTCTTCCTCTTGCTCCGGGAAGAGGGCCTGATATCCCAGGGAACACTCAAAGGGCGAAAAACCCATGGCAGAGCAGGGAAGGGTGTTGCGGGCGTATTCGACCCACACTAGTTGCTGGCTCCAGGTGGTGGGGTTGGCGGAGACCAGGCAGCGCAGAGTCGTCTCCAGGTCTTGGTTGGCTCGCTCCGACTGGCCGTTGGACTGAGGATGGAAACCGCGCCTCCCGGACATGCTTCCCTATTCCCCAACTGAGTGCCGTCGCCAAGCACGAGGTGGGAAGGATGGTCTCGGATTCCGGGGGTGTAGCCGCAGGGCTATAGCGGCGTGACAGCGCATCTGGCTTGACATTCTTGGATCCCGGTCGGTATGAGAGGGAGAAGTTGAACCGGGTGAAAAGCAGGGCCCACCTAGCTTGCCTGGAATTGAGACGCTTGGCGGTGCCGAGATATTCCAAGTTCTTGTGATCTGTCCACACAATGAACGGATGTTCCGCCCCCTCCAGCCAGTGCCTCCACTCCTCTATCACCATCTTCACCGCGAGAAATTCAAGATTCCTCTCCATGGTGTTGAGGCGATGGGAGAAGAAGGCGCAGGGATGTAACTTGAGGTCCAGGGCTGAACGCTGGGACAGGACCGCCCCCACTCCGACATCCGAAGCATCGGCCTCCACCACGAACTGGCGGGACGGGTCAGGATGAACCAAGATGGGAGCAGTGGTGAAACAGTGTTTGAGGTCCCGGAACGCCCGGTCAGCAGCTGGGGAGCATGTGACCGGAACCTTGGGAGAGGTGAGTGCAGACAAGGGGGGAGCCAGGGTGCTGTAACCCCGAATAAAGCGGCGATGAAAGTTGACAAATCCCAGGAAACGTTGCAGCTGCACTCTGGACGTATGCTGTGGCCAATCCACCACCGCTCTCACCTTCCCGTGATTCATCGGTACACTCCCTGCTGCGATGATGTACCCCAGGAAGGGGATGGTGGAGCGATGGAATTCGCATTTCTCCACTTTCACAAAAAGCTGGTTCGCCAGGAGGACTTGTCGGACGTGGAGCACGTGTTCTTGGGCAGAGCGGGAGAAGACAAGGATGTCGTCGAGGTAGACGAAGACGAACCAGTTCATCATGTCGCAGAGAACATCATTAACCAGGGCCTGGAACACAACTGGTGCATTGGTAAGGCCAAATGGCATGACCAGATACTCGTAGTGACCGCTGGCTGTGTTGAAGGCAGTCATCCACTCGTCCCCCTCCCGTATCCGCAGCAGGTGGTAGGCGTTCCGTAGGTCCAGCTTGGAGAACACGTTGGCCTCTGGAGTGGCTCGAAGGCTGAGGAGATGAATGGTAGCGGGGAGCGGTTCTTCACCGTGATGTCGTTGAGGCCCCAGTAGTCGATGCACAGGCGCAGGGTTTTGTCCTTCTTCTCCACAAATAAGAACCCTGCGCCGAACCCGACAGCGACTTCACTTGTCCCCGGGGCGGAGTGGTGCCTGGGAGAAGGTTGATTCCACATTCGTAGGGTCGGTGCGCCGGAAGCGAAGTGGCCCGGGCCTTACTGAACACCTCCCGGAGGTTCTGGCAGGAATGGCGGAGAGGTCAGAGGCAACTTCCGAGCCCCCAGGAAGACGTCCCGGGGCAGGCTGCACTGACTTCAGACAATGAGCGTGGCAGAACGGGCTCCAGCCCATGATGGCACCGCTACACCAGTCAATAAGGGGGTTGTGTCGCTGGAGCCAAGAGAAACCCAGTACCACGGGAACCTGAGGAGACTTAATTAGAAGGAATTGGATCGTCTCGCTGTGGTACCCTGATACTCGTAGGTTGATGGGGTTGGTATTGTGGGTGACCAGGCCTATAGAGTGCCCGTCCAGCGCTCTAACGTCTATGGGATGGAGAAGGGCTGAGTGGGTATCGTCCATAAAGCTCTCATCGGCCCAGAGTTGATGAGTACCCGGAGAGATTTCAACTGGTTCCACCACAGCAAGATGGCATGAAAGGGGGTGCGAGTAAGGGGAGAGGAAAAGCTATCCGTATGGCCCACCAGAGTGCTCGCTCCTACCGGTGAGCCTGGTCTTTTAGTGGACAAGTGGACACAAAATGGCCAGTAGTCCCACAACATAGGCAACTCTTTGTGTGAAGCCTGTATTGTCGTTCGGCTGGAGACAGCCTGGCTCTGCCTAGTTGCATCGGCTCGGGAAGAGGTGGATCGGCAGACTTCGGAGACTCTCGGGGGAACTCGATTAGCCTTGGGTTCTCTCGGCAACGGAGCCGTCGGGGACTTCCGGGATGCCTCTGAGGCGAGGTGGGATCAGACTTCCTCTCCTTCCTACATTCGCGTAGTCGCCCATCGATCCGAATGGTCAAGGCGATGAGCGAGTCGAGATCCGTCGGTAGTTCCCGGGCTGCAAGCTCGTCCTTTACTTCCTACACACTCAGCTGCAAACGTGCGGAAATCCACTGCATAGTCTGCCACACTGCAGAATTCTTGCCGAAGCTGTGGTAACTTCCGGGCAGCCTCTCTCCCGGACAATGGAGCATTGAAAACCTTTTTTACCTCCTGCATGAACTCCTCCAGACTGAAGCATACGGCAGACTGTTGTTCCCATGCTGCCGTAGCCCAGGCGAGAGCCCTCCCAGACATCAGCGTGATGAGGTACGCTATCTTAGAGCGGTCCGAGGGGAATGAAGAAGGCTGCAGCTCGATGATGAGCGAACACTGAGCGAGAAATGCCCGACAGGTTCCCGAATCTCCAGCGATGCGTTCCGGGGGAGGTAAGCGGGGTTCTCGGGAAACCGGAGTGGCCGGGGAGGCTGCGCTGCTAACATCCGGGTTACTGAGGGGCTGGGAGGTTACCGTTGTGGTAGGCTGCCTAACAGACAACCCGCGGAATTGCTCCAGCAAAATGTGTTAAACGCTCGGTCATGGCGTTCGGCCAAGGTCTGGAACCCTTCCATGAGACCACGAAGCAACTCCTCGTGCCTTCCAATGGTGGCTGCTTGGGAAGAGATGGCGTTGCGGAGCTGGTCCGAGTCTGCTGGGTCAGTCATGGCCAGTACGTACTATCACGTTTCAGGAGAAGACCCAGTTGCAGACAGTGTCGAAGTAACAAAAGTTTATTACAAAAACAGGTGGCAGGCAAACGACAGTTCAAGGGCAGGCAGAGGTCAGTAATCCAGGTCAGAGTCCAAAAGGTACAGAACGGCAGGCAGGCTCGGGGTCAGGGCAGGCAGAATGGTCAAAACCGGGAAAACTAGAAAACAGGAACTTGAGAAAAACAGGAGCAAGGGGAAAACCGTTGGTAGGTTTGACGAAACAAAACAAACTGGCAACAGACGACAGAGAACAGAGAACACTGGTATAATGGGGAAGATGGGCGACACCTGGAGGGGGGTGGAGACAATCACAAAGACAGGTGAAACAGATCAGGGTGTGACACTCTCCTTCCATATCTCTCCCACCTCTCTCTCTCTCTCTCTCCTTCCATATCTCTCCCACATCTCTCTCTCTCTCTCTCCTTCCATATCTCTCCCACCTCTCTCCTCTCTCTCCTTCCATATCTCTCCCACCTCTCTCTCTCTCTCTCCTTCCATATCTCTCCACCTATCTCGTCTCCTCTCTCTCTCTCTCCTTCCATATCTCCCCCCTCCCACCCCCCTCTCTCTCTCCTCTCCCCAATCTCTCCCCCTCTCTCTCTTTCCTTCCCATTCTCTTTTCCTCCTCCCCCACTCTCTTCTCTCTCCCCTCTCCTTCCCTCTCTCCCCCCTCTCTCTCTCTCTCTTCCCTTCCCTCTCCCCCTCCTTCTCCATCTCCCTTTCCCCCCTCAATCCCCTCATCCTCTCTCTTCCTCTCCTCCCTTTCCCTTCCCCTCTCCCCCCCCCTCTTTTCTCCGTCTCCTTCTCCTTCTCTCCATTCCCTCCCACCTCTCTCTCTTCTCCTCCTTCCCTCTCGCTCTCCCCCTGCGACCTCCCTCTCTCTCTCTCGTTCTCTTCCAACCCCCCCCCCCCTCTCTCTCCCCATAATCTCCCTCCCACCTCTTCTCTTTTTCTCCTCTTTCCCTATCTCCCCCCACTCTCTCCCCCTTTCCTTCCATATCTCTTTTTCTTTCCCCCCTCCTCTCCCCCCTCCTTTCCCCCCCTTCTCCTTTTCCCCCCCTTTCCCCACCCACCTCGTCTCTTTCCCCCTTCTCCCTCTTCTCCCCCAAAATCTCTCTCCTGTTCCCAATTAGCCAACATAATCCTCTTTCCCTCTCCCGGGCTGCGTCAAAAAGACCCCGACGGACGGAGGGGCTGGAAAGTCCGACCTAAGAACACGTCATCGAGCCATTCGGTCTTACCGGGACAGGGAGGGACAAGAGGGGCCAAACACAAGTACAAAACCCCCCGGGGGCCCCCCAGGGGCGCGCGAGACCGAACCCGGGCTCAGGTCCTCTCTCCCCCGGGGGGGAACGGCTCTACCATGCCTCGCTCCGCGTGCGTCTCTCGAAAACCCTCACGGGCGCCCCCGGGCCCTCTCTCATCTCCCTGCCGCTCTCACTCAAAGGTGCGTCTCCCGAAATGGAAAGAACAGGGGGGTCGGAAAAGTCTCGGGGGTCCGGGCGTCCTCAAAATTCGGGACGAACAGAAAAAAGAGTGTCTTCTCTTTTCGGGGTCTGAGGAAAAAAAGGGGGAAAGGGTCATCCTTCTCTCTCTCCTCATCTCTCTCTCTCTCTCTCTCTCTCTTTCTCAATACCACCTCTCTGGTTCAGTTGTTTCCCTGAGCTCCCAGTAGAGAGGAGCTGAGCATGCCCTCCAGGGAAATCAGCTGTGTTGATATGTGGAGCTGGCCCCCCTACTCCACACACACACTAACCCTCTCCTCTCCTTTGTAGCTCCATCCTTTTCTCTTTTCTCCCCTGTATGAATAACAGCCCTGAGTTGAGCTTACCAGCCAGGCCCAAACAATGGAAAAGGCATGCATTCATCCCACGTCTCACTAGTCAATGGGAGGGAGGCAGGGGCCTGGACCTTGCTGCCTTTAGAGTGGAGGATGTAATGACTTGGGGAATTCAAAGAGCGAGACACAGAGGGAGAGAAAGGGGGAAAGACAGAGAGACAGCGGGGGAGAGAGAGAGAGAGACAGCGGGGGAGAGAGAGAGACAGTGGGGGAGAGAGAGAGAGACAGCGAGGGAGAGAGACAGCGAGGGAGAGAGAGAGACAGCGAGGGGAGCGAGAGAGAGACAGCGGGGGAGAGAGAGAGAGAGATAGCGTGGGGAGAGAGAGAGAGAGAGAGAGACAGCGGGGGAGAGAGAGAGACAGCGGGAGAGAGCGAGAGAGACAGCGGGGGAGAGAGAGAGAGACAGCGAGGGAGAGAGAGAGAGAGAGACAGTGCGGGAGAGAGAGACAGTGAGGGAGAGAGAGAGACAGAGAGAGAGAGACAGTGAGGGAAAGAGAGAGAGAGACAGTGGGGGAGAGAGAGACATCGATGGAGAGAGGGAGAGAGACAGCGGGAGAGAGACAGCGACAGAGAGAGAGACAGCAGGAGAGAGAGAGACAGCGGGAGAGAGAGAGAGACAGCGGGAGAGAGAGAGAGAGAGAGAGACAGCAAGGCATCGAGGGAGAGAGGGAGAGAGACAGCGAGGGAGAGAGAGAGAGAGAAAGACAGCAAGGGAGAGAGAGAGAGACAGCGGGAGAGAGAGAGACAGCGAGGGAGAGAGAGAGACAGCGGGAGAGAGAGAGCGGGGGAGAGAGCGAGAGAGACAGTGAGGAGAGCGAGAGAGAGAGACAGCAAGGCATCGAGGGAGAGAGGGAGAGAGACAGCGAGGGAGAGAGAGAGAGAGAAAGACAGCAAGGGAGAGAGAGAGAGACAGCGGGAGAGAGAGAGACAGCGAGGGAGAGAGAGAGACAGCGGGAGAGAGAGAGCGAGAGAGACAGTGAGGAAGAGCGAGAGAGAGAGACAGCAAGGGAGAGAGAGAGAGACAGCGGGGAGAGAGAGAGAGACAGCGATGGAGAGAGCGACAGCGATAGAGAGAGAGAGAGAGAGACAGCGAGGGAGAGAGAGAGAGACAGCGGGGAGAGAGAGAGCGGGGGAGAGAGAGACAGCGAGGGAGAGAGGGAGAGAGACAGCGATAGAGAGAGAGAGAGAGACAGCGATGGAGAGAGAGAGAGCGACAGCGAGGGAGAGAGAGAGAGATAGAGAGAGAGACAGACTCAGTGAGCATAGCCTTGCTATTGAGAAAGGCCGACGTAGGCAGACCTGGCTCTCAAGAGAAGACCTCCTGACCATATTAGACACATATTTCCCCCAGATTACACAGATCAACGAAGAAATCGAAAACAAACCCAATTTTGATAAACTCCCTTATCTACTGGGTGAAATACCACAGTGTGCCATCACAGCTGCAAGATTTGTGACCTGTTGCCACAAGAAAAGGGCAACCAGTGAAGAACAAAATATTTATGTTTATTTACTTTCCCATTTGTACTTTAACTATTTGCACATCATTACAACACTGTATATATACATAATATGACATTTGAAATGTCTTTATTCTTTTGGAACTTCTGAGTGTAATGTTTACTGTTAATATTTATTGTTTATTTCACTTTTGTTTACTATCTACTTCACTTGCTTTGGCAATGTTAACATACGTTTCCCATGCCAATAAAGCCCTTCAATTGAAATTGAATTGAATTGAGAGAGACAGCGAGGGAGAGAGAGAGAGAGAGACAGCGAGGGAGAGAGAGAGAGAGACAGCGGGGGAGAGAGAGGGAGAGAGAGAGAGACGGCAAGGGAGAGAGCGAGAGAGACAGTGGGGGAGAGACAGAGAGAGACAGCGAGGGAGAGAGAGAGAGAGACAGTGGGGGAGAGACAGAGAGAGACAGCGGGGTAGAGAAAGAGAGAGATACAGCCAGGGGGGGGGGGGGGGGGGGGGAGAGAGGGAGCGAGGGAGCGAGAGAGAGAGTCAGCGGGGGAGAGAGAGAGAGACAGCGAGGGAGAGAGAGAAAGAGACAGCGAGGGACAGAGAGAGACAGCGAGGGAGAGACAGCGAGGGAGAGAGAGAGAAACAGCGAGGGAGAGAGAGAGAGAGACAGCGGGGGGAGAGAGAGAGAGACAAGCGAGGAGAGAGAGAGAGAGACAAGCGAGGGAACAGAGAGAGACAGCGAGGGAGAGAGAGAGAGACAGCGGAGGGGAGAGAAGAGAGAGGAACAGATGAGGGGGGAGAGAGAGACATCGGGGGGGGAGAGAGAGACGGGGAGAGCGAGAGAGAAGACAGCGGGGGAGAGAGAGAGAGACAGCGGGGGAGAGAGACAGCGGGGGAGAGAGAGAGAGACAGCGAGGGGGAGAGAGAGAGAGACAGCGGGGGAGAGAGAGAGAGACAGCGGGGGAGAGAGACAGCGAGGGAGATAGAGAGAGACAGCGGGGGGGAGAGACAGCGGGGGAGAGAGACAGCGGGGGAGAGAGAGAGAGACAGCGAGGGGGAGAGAGACAGAAGCCATGTTTGTCTGCCGTTAACATGCGCCCTTCTTCCTGATCTTGACCTGATCCTGTCTGTTTACACTTATAATCACAATCAGATCACAATGCGTCTTTTAATCATCTAATTGTCTGATTTTTTTTTTTAAAGATCACAACAAAGGCTGCATGTTAGAACCAGGTATAAACAGGGCTAGAGAGACATATGTGTTTTTGTGTCCTTCTCCTTCCCCCTCTTCTCCTCCTTGAGTTGAAAGTTGTTTCTTTCAGTTTGAATGTTAATCTGGTTATGTTGCTATAGCTACACACCTGTGAACTGAAGATTGGGAGCTGTTGCCTGGAATGTTATTGACATTGAGATTCGTGGAGACTACAGATAATTATCCTAACTCTTAAGGTGTTAGAGAGAGAGAATTAACTCCAAGGTGTTTCAAGTTGAACAGTCTAGCAGTTTTAAGACTCCTCCTGGTATTTAAAGTCCTAATGAATTCATGTTTCTTCTCTTTCTACAGGTCTCAGGCTCGGTTAACATCTACGAACCACTGAAGAGGCTCTGACAAAATAACAGGGGAAAGGAGGACAAGACAGGACAGGACAGGACAGGACAGGACAGGACGAGAGAGAGAGAGAGAGAGAGAGAGACTATTGAAAAGAAAAGCGGAGGTGGGGTTGGGTAGGATCAGCTTTGTGTCTGTCGGTGTGAGGTTGGGGTGCATGCTTTCCTCTCCAGGGGACATCCTCCTTTGTGTGAGAGATAGTTAGCAAAAGACAAAGAATGCTCAATAAACAGAGAGGAGAGTGTCGAGCGGCGGGGATGCCAGGTCTGGGGAGTTTAGCTCTTGGAAGCAGGACTAGCGTGTTGCTGCTACTGACTCTCATTGTAACCCTGGCTCAAGGGGCCTGGCCACTTGATCAATCCCAGGGACAGGTGGAGGTGCTGGGAGACATGATGGTGGAAGGACCCGGGGAACTGGAGGCCTCCATGCACTCCTCCGTACTCTCAGACTTCCAGGTGGTGGAGGCAGCAGTGGAGGCCTTGGAGCCGGTGGCGGCTGCAGTCCAGCAGTCTGCAGTAGGAGCAGGGGGAGTGTCAGGATTCCCAGACTCGTCTGCTGTAGAGGGCCGGGTTTTCCAGATGAAGGTTCCGGTGAAGACGGACTATACCAGGAACATGGTGAAGGTGAGAGCCCTAACCAATCATTACTGAGGCCCCTGAGGCGCCGGACTGTTACCGGGAAGATCTATATTCACCGTCCATTTGAGAAATGTACTGGACCCCATACGCATTGGCTGCTTAACCCATAAGGGTGTCCACCCACGGTACTCAGAATGACAGAAATCACATTCATATTATTTTAATGCATCTTAACAGAACATGCAACTCATGTAGTAATGAACCAGCCAATAAAACGTCATTCAAACATTTGCCAAAATGCAATTAGCAGGAAAACACCATTCTAAACCGCGCACCTGGGAAAAAAACATTCTAAACCGCGCACCTGGGAAAAAAAAAACATTCTAGACCGCGCACCTGGGAAAACACCATTCTAAACCGCGCACCTGATAGCGGTTCGATACACAGTGTGTGAATACACAGTATGTGACAGAGATGAAAGTCTCTGTTAGAAACTTAGAAAGAGGGGGAAACAAAAGATGCAACAACTAGGATGGGTTGCTCATATGACTAGGATTGTGCCTTTGGCTTCTTGACAACAAAATAAAGTTGATATGAAAACCAATAGACCAGGAGAGAAATGGCATAGCGCTGGGTCCAACAGGAAAGTAAATGGAAATACATTTGTCAAAATTATATATTTACTCCTGTCTATACAGAAATAAATAAAATCATTCAAAATACTTTACCAGAAAGCATGGCTTAGCCACAGAGGAATCAAGGATAATTAGCTTCTTTAAAAAAATAAAAAAATAGCTGTGGATTGTTTCAAATCACAAGCTTGTATGCCTATGCCGTGGTTCTCTGTAGCTCAGCTGGTAGAGCACGGCGCTTGTAACGCCAGGGGTAGTGGGTTCGATCCCCGGGACCACCCATACGTAAAAAATGTATGCACGCATGACTGTAAGTCGCTTTGGATAAAAGCGTCTGCTAAATGGCATATTATATTATGCCTATTTGGGAAGGCCGCATTTTCGGGCGGCGCGCGACAATTAAAGGCCTAGCTGATTATTGAGTTGCGGTTGTCAGTGAAAAGCATCTAAAATACTGTATGTGTGAAGATAATGTGTCTTGAGTATAATTTAAAATGTTGAGACAAGGAGAGGGGAGGGATGTGTGTTGTGAAGAAAGATGCGAGTCTCTCTCCAGACTGCCTCAGCTGTCTCCCGCCAATTCTTGCGCATTCATTGTGTAAATTGTTTCATTGTGTAAATTGTTTGCCCTTTTTACTTTGATTGTTTTAATCAATTCCCCATTACATACGTCACCAGTAGTAAGTGTACCATTAATACCCGTCATTTGGTATTTCATTCATTTCTGTTAATGCATGTATTAATTACAGTCATTTAGCGTTCTCATTCTCGGCGTGAAAACGTTGTTTGCAAAGTTCACAACCTGCTACACTTGTAAGAAACAAGTTTGAGTTTATTTCATAACCATAATTTACGGGATTTGTCAATAAATAAAAAAAATTGTATTTTGTTTGGAATGCTCCACGTGAGTAATGAGCACGTGTCTGGTTTCTCTGATAATATTGAGGGAGCGCATAGAAGTAACTGGCCTGCTGCGCAGACATGTAGGAAAGTGTTTTTTGAACATCAATTGTGAATGATGATAAATGAAAACTAAAGTTCCTCACAGTAAGCCATTTGAAAAATTATTTCCGACAATCTCCCCCTCGATAATCACCAATCCTCGGTGTGATAGGCTTCTGCATTGGGCCTATAGGCTATGAGTTCCTTGCGCTCATTTCTTTAGCCGCCAATGGATCACGGTGTATCAACGTGTCCATATGGGAGAGGCTGGGGATCTCGCATTAGTTACACTTTTAACTTTTCAGATTTTTATCATTTTAATTCAGATTTTTTATGATTCACCACGTGACAATGATTTTGAGAAATGGAAACGCTCATATTGAAATTAAACTGTTCCACCAAAATGTGCATATGAAAATCATAACTGCCACGCAGAACGGTAGAAATGGTAGGAAAAATTGTAAGCTTCCCGAAACTTGAAACTCCATGACGTTTCCATGATCGGATTTTGCCTATAGGCAACTTTGAAGCAAGTTAAGACGTGCCTCATAATATGAAATAAAACATTCAGGTTTCAAACAGTTAAGTATGTTTTGAAAATGCACACTGCTTCCAGCTCACATTGTGAAGTGGTGGGTGACGCGCTGATAGCCTGTTGCCTGCACTTGAATGGTGAACGGGAGGCGCGCTTCAATCGTCAGTTGATAAATAAAAATAGTAGTTCTTTTTAATCGCGCAACAAAACTGTTTTTAACATCTGATTTGCATTTAGAATTTGTGGGCTTATTAAAGCCCATGTTTTATTCCGGCATCCTGCTCAGAATAAGCTCTGTGTGCTGTGCGTGTGATTGTTGTGTTGGATAAATAAGACACATGATGACTAACGAAAATACACAATAAATTATGCAAATTCACCTATAGACCGATAAGCATGACGTTCAAATGTATTTACATCGACTGGTATCGACTGGTATTTCCAATGAATAAAAAGCATTATTTTGCTATGGGATTTTTTATTTATCTGCTTTTTTATTTTTCTACAAAAGCCGGCAGTTGCCAACTAACATAAACCCTGGTGTGTGTGTGTGTGTTTGTGTGTGTTTTTCTTTACTCACTGAAAGAGGAGGACCCATTCCCTCAAGGATAGTTTGGCCAATCATATTCCCCGCTGCTCTCTAGATATGCATTATTAGTAAATACTGTAAAAGCACATGCAATAGAGATGCCAAACGTTCAGCCTGCTGCACAGACCCTGTAGACTCTCAATCTAACAATACAGCTCCAACTATCATCCTATTGACCATTTATTTTAGCCAATCATCAGTCAGTCAGTGCGTTACAAGCCGAGTATTCATTGACAAAACTCGGAAATGATGGTTATGAATTAAACCAAAACGTGTTACTCACAAATGTAGCAGGTGTGCCCTTGAGCAAGGCACTTAACCCTAATTGCTCCTGTAAGTCGCTCTGGATAAGAGCGTCTGCTAAATGACCAATTCATTCAATTCATTCATAGCAGGTTGTGAACTCTGCAAACAGTTTCCACTACAGTAATGACAATGGTAGGCTTAATGACTTTAATTAATATATGCATTAACATACATTTAAGTTTTCCAAATATGAGACTGATAACGTAGCCGGTACGGCTATCATCCTCGTTTACCGCTTCACCTAATCTTTCCCAACATGACTTTTCTGGCCTTCCCTTCTCTTTATTTTAAACAGCTTCATTTTCACAGCTTTTCTCTTATTGAATTAAACTCTGACATTGTCCTTTTTGCCTCCGTGGATCAAAGTTAACTTATCCTGCCCGTTTTCCTAACCCACACTTGACAACCTCAACCTAAACATGTTGCGACATGTCGATGGAGTCGTTTAAGTCTCGTTTGTTTGAACTAACTTGTACAGTATAGTTTGGTTAGACGTTGGTCTGAGCTGGGCTCGGTGGTTGATTGTGAAACATGCCAACTTTTTGAAATGCATGACCCCAGCACTTATTCCAGCACTGTGTTGCCTCGTCCCATGATAATGCATGACCCCAGCACTTATTCCAGCACTGTGTTGCCTCGTCCCATGATAACTCTCTGAGTCTCCCAGGCTGAGGGTGTAGTCCTTTATTCACAGGATCCTTTCTGCCCTGTCAAACGCATGTTAAAACGTCCCCAGTACCAAACACCAAACCATGGCCCCTTTTGTATATTGAGAATATGGACCCTGACAGCTGGACCAAAGAATGCTAACGCCAAGCCCTATCACCAAGCCCTATCACCAAGCCCTAACACCAAGCCCTAAAACCAAGCCCTATCACCAAGCCCTATCACCAAGCCCTATCACCGTGCCCTATCACCAAGCCCTATCACCAAGCCCTATCACCATGCCCTATCACCATGCCCTAACACAATTCCCTATCACCAAGCCCTATCACCAAGCCCTATCACCGTGCCCTATCACCAAGCCCTATCACCAAGCCCTATCACCATGCCCTATCACCATGCCCTAACACAATTCCCTATCACCAAGCCCTATCACCGTGCCCTATCACCAAGCCCTATCACCAAGCCCAAACGCCAAGCCCTATCACCAAGCCCTATCACCAAGCCCTAACACCAAGCCCTAAAACCAAGCCCTATCACCAAGCCCTATCACCGTGCCCTATCACCGTGCCCTATCACCGTGCCCTATCACCGTGCCTATCACCAAGCCCTATCACCGTGCCCTATCACCAAGCCCTATCACCGTGCCTATACACCAAGCCCTATCACCAAGCCCTATCACCGTGCCCTATCACCAAGCCCTATCACCAAGCCCATCACCGTGCCCTATCACCAAGCCCTATCACCGTGGCCTATCACCAAGCCCTATCACCAAGCCCTATCACCGTGCCCTATCACCGTGCCCTATCACCAAGCCCTATCACCAAGCCCTATCACCGTGCCCTATCACCAAGCCCTATCACCGTGCCCTATCACCAAGCCCTATCACCGTGCCCTATCACCAAGCCCTAACACCAAGCCCTATCACCAAGCCCTATCACCGTGCCCTATCACCAAGCCCTATCACCAAGCCCTATCACCGTGCCCTATCACCAAGCCCTATCACCGTGCCCTATCACCAAGCCCTATCACCGTGCCCTATCACCAAGCCCTATCACCGTGCCCTATCACCAAGCCCTATCACCGTGCCCTATCACCAAGCCCTATCACCAAGCCCTATCACCGTGCCCTATCACCAAGCCCTATCACCGTGCCCTATCACCAAGCCCTATCACCAAGCCCTATCACCGTGCCCTATCACCAAGCCCTAACAGCATTTTCTGAAGAGTAGAGCCTCCTTTTTTTCACACACAAACACACACACACACACACACACACACACACACAGGTAGCCAAAGCACAAGGCTGTAGAGCAAAGCGATCGTTATTATTGGTCTCACGGTAGTCTAAAGCTACAACCTAGGAAACACAGGCTGTAAGAAGCCTCTAGATGATTCCAAGACTATGCAGGCTTGGCTACTTTCAGGCTTGGCTACTTCAGTGAATAGAAGTATCTTGCGTATTGCAGGGCTTGTTAGATCACAAGGAATGGAAAGAAATGGAACTGTAGAAGACGTATAAAGTCACAGCCCTTTTTACATCTTGTGAGATTCTTGTTGTTTCCAGCCCCACGGCAACACAATATAACAAGCTTTCCTTAATTTTGGGTCAGTCAGGTACTCTGCCACTGTGTACTCTCTGTTTAGGGCCAAATAGCGTTCTAGTTTGCTCAGTTTTTTTAAAAAAATAATTATTTCCAATGTGTCTAGTAATTATCTTTTTGTTTTCTCATGATTTGGTTGGGTCTAATTGTGTTGCTGTCCTGGGGCTCTGTGGGGTCTGTTTGTGTTTGTGAACAGAGCCCCAGGACCAGCTTACTTAGGGGACTCTTCTCCAAGTTCATCTCTCTGTAGGTGATGGCTTTGTTATGGAAGGTTTGGGAATTGCTTATTTTTAAGTGGTTATAGAATTTAACGGCTCTTTTCTGGATTTTGATAATTAGCGGGTATCGGCCTAATTCTGCTCTGCATGCATTATTTGGTGTTTTACGTTGTACAATGAAGATATTTTTGCAAAATTCTGTCTCAATTTGGTGTTTGTCCCATTTTATCAACTATTGGTTGGTGAGCGGACCCCAGACCTCTCAACCATAAAGGGCAATGGGTTCTATAACTGATTCAAGTATTTTTAGCCAGATCCTAATTGGTATGTCAGATTTTATGTTCCTTTGCCTTGTCGCTCAGATGGTTCACAGCTTTGTGGAAGTTACCTGTGGCGCTGATGTTTAGGCCGAGGTACAGTGGGGGGAAAAAGTATTTAGTCAGCCACCAATTGTGCATGTTCTCCCACTTAAAAAGATGAGAGAGGCCTGTAATTTTCATCATAGGTACACGTCAACTATGACAGACAAATTGAGATTTTTTTTCTCCAGAAAATCACATTGTAGGATTTTTAATGAATTTTCTTTGCAAATTATGGTGGAAAATAAGTATTTGGTCACCTACAAACAAGCAAGATTTCTGGCTCTCACAGACCTGTAACTTCTTCTTTAAGAGGCTCCTCTGTCCGCCCGTTCCCCAGACCTGGCGGATGGTCTCCTGAGGGATCTCCTCCCAGACCTGGACTAAAGCATCCGCCAACTCCTGGACAGTCTGTGGTGCAACGTGGCGTTGGTGGATGGAGCGAGACATGATGTCCCAGATGTGCTCAATTGGATTCAGGTCTGGGGAACGGGCGGGCCAGTCCATAGCATCAATGCCTTCCTCTTGCAGGAACTTCTAACACACTCCAGCCACATGAGGTCTAGCATTGTCTTGCATTAGGAGGAACCAAGGGCCAACCGCACCAGCATATGGTCTCACAGGGGGTCTGAGGTTCTCATCTCGGTACCTAATGGCAGTCAGGCTACCTCTGGCGAGCACATGGAGGGCTGTGCGGCCCCCCAAAGAAATGCCACCCCACACCATGACTGACCCACCGCCAAACCGGTCATGCTGGAGGATGTTGCAGGCAGCAGAACGTTCTCCACGGCGTCTCCAGACTCTGCCACGTCTGTCACATGTGCTCAGTGTGAACCTGCTTTCACCTGTGAAGATCACAGGGCGCCAGTGGCGAATTTGCCAATCTTGGTGTTCTCTGGCAAATGCCAAACGTCCTGCACGGTGTTGGGCTATAAGCACAACCCCCACCTGTGGACGTCGGGCCCTCATACCACCCTCATGGAGTCTGTTTCTGACCGTTTGAGCAGACACATGCACATTTGTGGCCTGCTGGAGGTGATTTTGCAGGGCTCTGGCAGTGCTCATCCTGCTCCTCCTTGCACAAAGGCGGAGGTAGCAGTCCTGCTGCTGGGTTGTTGCCCTCCTACGGCCTCCTCCACATCTCCTGATGTACTGGCTTGTCTCCTGGTAGCGCCTCCATGCTCTGGACACTACGCTGACAGACACAGCAAACCTTCTTGCCACAGCTCACATTGATGTGCCATCCTGGATGAGCTGCACTACCTGAGCCACTTGTGTGGGTTGTAGACTCCGTCTCATGCTACCACTAGAGTGAAAGCACCGTCAGCATTCAAAAGTGACCAAAACATCAGCCAGGAAGCATAGGAACTGAGAAGTGGTCTGTGGTCACCAACTGCAAAACCAGTCCTTTATTGGGGGTGTCTTGCTAATTGCCAATAATTTCCACCTGTTGTCTATTCCATTTGCACAACAGCATGTGACATTTATTGTCAATCAGTGTTGCTTCCTAAGTGGACAGTTTGATTTCACAGAAGTGTGATTGACTTGGAGTTACATTGTGTTGTTTAAGTGTTCCCTTTATTTTTTTGAGCAGTGTATTTATATATATATATTTACCAAAAAAATATGGGGGATTGGAAATGATGCAGACAATTACATTGATGGAAGCCACAATCTATCTGCAATATTAAAGCTGACCTATACCCTAAAAATAAAAAAAGACAATTTGACATTTGCTCAGTACATTGTTTTCACTGAGGAAATGTATGAGTCTGCTGTTAATGCTCTCTCTCTCTCTCTCTCTCTCTCTCTCTCTCTCTCTCTCTCTCTCTCTCTCTCTCTCTCACGCTATCTCTATCTCTAAATCTCGCAATCATCTCTCTCTCTCTCTCTCTCTCTTCATCGCTCTCTCTCTCTCTCTCTCTTCATCTCTCTCTCTCTCTCTCTCGCATGTGTTGCCATATAATTACATTCTATCAGACTATTCCTGGACACAGCCTAGAAATCATCATTTTCCGTGATCCACAGTGTGTTTGACAGTGGAAACTAAAACAAGGAAGGGTGTATTCTAGGACTGTGCTCTGGGGTATAATACTATCGCTCTACTGCTGAACAGCAATAGAATAGAGTGATATATAAATGTTTTAACAGTTTGAAAATGGGATGGATTTGAAAAGAGACCAGTCTCTCATAAACATCTGACTGTCTGCCAAGCTACCCACCCTAACTGCCTGTCTAGCTACCCACCATAACTGTCTGTCTAGCTACCCAACCTAACTGTCTTTACCCCACCATAACTGTCTGTCTAGCTACCCAACCTAACTGTCTGTCTAGCTACCCACCATAACTGTCTGTCTAGCTACCCACCCTAACTGCCTGTCTAGCTACCCACCATAACTGTCTGTCTAGCTACCCACCCTAACTGTCTGTCTAGCTACCCACCCTACTGCCTGTCTAGCTACCCACCTAACTGTCGTCTAGCTACCCATCCTACTGTCTGTCTAGCACCCACCCTACTGTCTGTCTAGCTACCCCCCTCCCTGTCCTACCTAGCTACCCAACATACGCCTGTCTAGCTACCCAACCATAACTGCCTGTCTAGCTACCCACCCTAACTGTCTGTCTAGCTACCCACCCTAACTGTCTACCTAGCTACCCAACATAACTGCCTGTCTAGCTACCCAACATAACTGCCTGTCTAGCTACCCACCCTAACTGCCTGTCTAGCTACCCACCCTAACTGTCTGTCTAGCTACCCACCCTAACTGTCTGTCTAGCTACCCATCCTAACTGTCTGTCTAGCTACCCACCCTAACTGTCTGTCTAGCTCACGCACCCTAACTGTCTGTCTAGCTACCCACCTAACTGTCTGTCTAGCTACCAACCTAAACTGGTCTGTCTAGCTAACCTCCAACGACAAACGAGAAGCAAGCAGAACGTCAGATCGAACACAAAAAGCAGAAGAAGCGGGACGAAAAAGACAAGAAGCAAGCAGAAAAAAGAGCAAGAAGGAGCAGAAGAGGGGAAGAAGAATGGAGAAGAAAGAGAGAAGAAGAACGCAAGCGAAAAAAAGAGCAATCGAAGAGAAGAAACAAAGAGACAGTAGATGGAGAAGAAATAAGTGTAGAGTGCGAGAATGAAGAGATGACAATAATAAACATACTAGCATAGAACAATAATCTAATCTATTCCCATAAAATCTCTCATACTATCCTCTACATCTACTCTCTAAACAATAATCCTCATTCTTTCCTCGTAACGCTCATTCATATGAAGCCTTAGTGTGTGTTTGTGTGTGTGTGTGTGTGTCGGTCTGTGTGTGTGTGTGTGTGTGTGTGTGTGTGTGTGTGTGTGTGTGTGTGTGTGTGTGTGTGTGTGTGTGTGTGTGTGTCTGTGTGTGTGTGTGTGTGTGTGTGTGTGTGTGTGTGTGTGTGTCTGTGTGTCTGTGTGTGTGTGTGGCTACTGTGTTAGCTACTGTCTTACTTACCATCTGGAGTGTATCCCATTGGTTCACAGTGGGATGAATTTGGCTACTGGTGCATCACTGGATTGTTTTTTATAGGTTTAGTGTTTAGTGTTAAAAAGGATACTGTTTAGTGTTCAGTGTTAAAAAGGATACTGTTTAGTGTAATCACTCATGTAGAAAACAGTATCCTATTTCTAGGAGTGTGTTATCGCTCGTGTAGAAAACAGGCTCCTATTTCTAGTAGTGTGTTATCACTCATGTAGAAAACAGTATCCTATTTCTAGGAGTGTGTTATCACTCATGTAGAAAACAGTCTCCTATTTCTAGGAGTGTGTTATCACTCATGTAGAAAACAGTCTCCTGATTATCATGTGAAGAGTGGTGCCCATCTTGTTTCTATAACACACTGTATAAAGCCAATTAGGCTGATACTGTATGTCAAATACATTATAGCCTAATTAGGCCTAGCTAATGTATGTCAAAATGGGGAAAGGGTTAGTTAATGGTGGTGAACATGGGTCTAGATCTAGGGCAGAGCAGATCATTAATGTAAACAGTACAGAATGTATTCAATACTTAGATGTT